GAAGGCAAATAAGTTATCTTTCTTATACGTGAATACATTTTTTGATGGTTTGTCTTGTCAAAACAAGAATTTGAATGTAGATTTTTCTATGCAATCTTTTATACCTTCAGTAAAAATGTTCCATTAAAACTGATTGATTGATCCTTATTCCCAGCTTGTGACCTAGGCTAGTGCTTCTGTAGTAGACTATCTCCTATAACATCTAATTCTATTTTCATAGTTTAATAATATTTTTTGTTGATTTTAGAGTAAATCTGCATGAGGGTTACAACTAACAACGTTGGTTTGAAGATGGAATGGAAAGCAGGTAGTGCTGTTTCGGCTGATAGTTCTTTTATAGAAGTACCGGAAGAAGAGTTGGTATTGGTACAAGCTGTTAGATATGGAGATATTGACATGATTTCTAGGATGTTAAATCATGATGCTGATATTAATGCTAAACATTCAGGTATTACTTAGACCTCTACATGTGTATTAGAGCAAACAAGGCCTTTATTTTCACTATTCTCGAATTACAAGAAGCAATGACTTTGTATGTGAAACCTGAATGATCTTTGATGCACAACACACCAAATTTTCGAATTTTTGTTTAGAAGTAGGCCTACTTTAATATTAGGCTTATAGGTATTCAGTAAAAAATATGGCTGGGGATTAATTGTATCCTAAAACTTTCAGGGTGGTTAAGAAACACAAGATATATGGATATACTATTTTTGACATTTATAAACTCAATGTGAAAATATCAGGGGTTTATTCTATAGATCATAATTCTTATATCTCCAAATCTATTTCAGGAGAACCAATGTTATTAAAACTACCATATTTGTTTCGTCAAATTAGATTAACTGGATATTCCTGTCTACATGTTGCTGTTTTACACTCTGATATCAAGGTATAAAATTTGATGATTTCAGAAAGGCAGTTGTCTATATCTATTTTGAAACTCATCTTTAATAATTTCAACTATGTTATTTTACATTTGCTCTTTCGATACGAAGGTCTTGTTACATAGCTGTCAATTATTAGGGCTTTGAGATATGAATTTATGACTATGTAATCAACCTTTCAGTTAAGTTTTTTGAGTAATCAAATCTCATAATAGAAGACTTAGCATCTCAATTTCTTGTTTTGTTTATTAATAGCTAATTGAAAGTTTATTAGATTATGGAGGAGATGTTAATATTGAAGATGAAAATAGTCGTACTCCGTTATTTCTGGCTACTGCTGTAGGTAGATTAGATGTGATTGATTTATTAATAAATAGAGGTAAGGTAGCTTTTATTTTTCTGAAAACTTTCACTGAATATGTATGGATTATTTGTTAAAATTATGTTAATCAAATGTTCAGTACACTTTCATGTCACCAATATGTTATTCATGTTAAGGTATGAGATATATTGGGTATTTTATTTTGATATGCACTAAAAGCACAGATTTTTAGTTATTATACTACCCTATGTAACCAACCTTGCAATCAGCTCTTCTATAGTTTTTAAACACTGCTTGTCTTGTCTGCAGTAACATTTTGCTATCCCTAGTCAATTGTAGTTTATAACCATTGATCTATATTTGTTTGTTACATGTACCTTCATGGTCTCTTTACCATGTACTGTTTAGAATTTCTTTAAATTTATTCAATAAAGTATTTTTTTCTTTTCTCTTCTTTCAGGTGCAGACCCTGACATCCAGACAGCTAGTAAGCGTACTGCTTTAATGGAAGCTGTATGTAGACAAGATCTACCAGTAGTCCAGCGACTAATTGAATGTGGTGCTGATTTAAATTTAACTGATATTAAAGGAGGTACACTGTTGTACTTTGCCTGCATTGTTAAATCACCTAATTTGGAAATTATTAGACAAATTTTAAAAGGTATTATATAAATTGTTCATTATATGACTGAATCTGCAAAATATTTTCATTAAAGGTTTCTTTTCATATGAATTATGTCCAGTACAATTAACATATGAAAGGAATGAGGAAAATGTGTTTGGCCCTACTACCCTTTTCAAAAGTAATTATCAAAGATGGATGTAAATTATCCATTAAACAATCCCTTTGAACTATCAAAAAAACTTCTAAAGAAGTTAAAAAATTTCCAATTGACACTAGAGTTATTGCCCTTGTCTAATTAGATATTATTATATTGATCAGCTGGTGTCGATGTAAATAAAGTCAACTCTAAAGGTGCTACAGTATTAATGATGGTAGTTAGGAATACTGATGTTGAAGTTATGGAGTTATTAGTTGATGCTGGAGCTGATATCAACTTGGTAATCATCTTCATAATCTTGTATATTGTGATTTTATTTAGAGTAAAACTAAGCTGACACATAGGGTGACTTTGATCCAAGATCTGGTTTGATTTGAGATTCTGGAGTCACAACCAAACAGTAATATTTTCTAGAGTTGAGACCATGTGACTTTATATTTTACCCAGAAGCTCAGATCTCACCCCCGCCATCTGGAGATCAGGTATGGCTCTATATTATGGTAGTGCCACCATGGTGCCTTAACTCGATCATACTGGATTCAACCCTCACTCGACACTGCAGATAATTAGGTCCTTTCTTCAGTAACTCTAGCGCATCTCAGAGAGTCAATCATAGTCAGCCAATAGTATCAGGTACTGCTGAAGAGATCCAGAATAGTCAGCAATAAAAACTCTCTCGTATCTGGATATTTTTTATACCATAACAATACAGCAGGTTTTTGCAAAAGTAAATATGGTAGGGAAAGATATTTTTTGGCAGCAGTTATTTTTATTAGTGAATGAGGAGGTATCAACATTTATTGATTAAAAAAGTTGATAACTAGGTAGCACTGAAGTAATGATATCATTTTCTCCTCCCAAAGAGGTAGTGTAGTCATTGCTTGAAATTTGCATGTTTATTCTACTTTGTGTTTGTATTATAAATTTCAGAAAGATAATGCTGGGCGCTCAGCCTTTCATATGGCTATAGAGAATATGGGATCAAAACGTACCACCACAATAATAGACTTTTTACTCAGTAATGGGGCTGATGCTGATTGTCCAGACAAAAAAGGTACAGGAAATAACACAAATGACAAAACATACCACAAACTCTCTTGTTTTAGATCACTTCATGCAATTAAATGATTTACTTTTAGAAAGTTTCCTCAGATATATTTTAAACACTACTGTCAACTGACATTAATAATATAGGATTTAGTTGCTCAAAATTCCACTTGATAACATCATTGTGATATCTATTATTTTGTTTCTCCAGGTGTAACACCATTACAAAAAGCTGTGAAATTTGGAAAAGTGCGAGCCATAGAAAGACTGTTGAATGCTGACTGTGAGCGATCATATGATATGTTGACAGCTTGGAGAATTGTCCAATTGTGTTCTGTATTACCCACGTTTCAGGAATGGTTGAATGAAGAGTTTTATACCCCAAGAAGTTTATTACGATTATCTCGGGGTGCTGTGAGAAAGACACTAGCTCATAATATGGGACGGATTGATGTAAGACATCTAGAAGTGCCTCAGTTTTTGAAAGATTTTCTTTTAGTCAAATATTATACAGAAATTGAATTATGATCAATATGGCATCAAATTTGTTTCCGAGTGAATTGGCATTTACTTTAAAGGAACAGCACTTGAAAACCTCCATTACAACAAATATTTGTGAGGCTTTATACCCAATTTGTTGATAAGTAACAAAAAACACTGTCTGTATATGGTAATATGTATTGCATTTTGTATTTTACGTTTGTTATTATATTGGATTGTGTAGTCAGTCACTTCACTAACATACAAGGTAATTTCAAGAGGAAGAATAATGAGGCCTTTGTTACCGGTAAAAGTTCAATGTTAACAACTCTGCAGCTACATAATGTACATTTGTTTAAAAAGATAGCCTGGCTGATTTGTTTTGATTTGTTTACTGTGATATAAAGATAGCCTTGTGCTTTTGTAGTATATGTTAGTTTTATTACTGTTTTTTATTATCAAATCAAAGATTTGTTTGTTATTTTTTTTTTATAAAAAGTGTTCAGAAATATATTTATAACAAAATATGCCTTGAAATATTGAATTGAATCATTTTGGCATTAAATATTATTTATCTTAAACTGCCTATTTTATTTAACCATTACCAGGATTTGCAGGAGAACAGGTAAAAACACCTTTAAAGACCTACCATCTCGCATGAAGCGATATACATCATTGTGAAAATGAAATTACCTAATTATTAGGCCTATCAAACAATTGACTTAATGACGGCCTAATTTTTATAATAACTTGGTTGTTTCCCCTCTTTTGATCTCTAATATTAAAGTCTGAAAGTTTATCTTTAGTTTTCGCGGGAAACTTAATACAGTCAATCTAGAATGACCTTATAGGGCGATAATTAGATGACTACATTATGTCTTTTAAAAACAGGTACTTGGAAAGGTTCCTCAAATATGCATCTATATCTGCTGATGCATTACCTTCCTTGCAGTTACTGTTAACTTTACCAAAATATGGTATATGTCGATTGTCGAAGACTGGCACCACAGTAGTCGTAGGCTTATGGCTAGTTTCATCATAGTTGGGGTCCGTAACTACATCAATGCAAAAGAGGCAAATTTTAAAATAAAGGAATTTGGTTTAATAACTTAAAAATATAAATAGTCTATAGAATCAACAAAATATATTTGATATATGCCTCATAGAAAAAGTCCCAAGTTACACCCCAGTCAGACACCATACTTAAAAATGCTCCTACTTCTGTTCTAAAGTAACCCTATATTCTGCAATTTTTCAGGCATCTCCAAAAGTTAAAGATACAGTCAATTATTCAAAAGGCATTTGAACTTTTATATTGGGACTTGATTTTTAGCCTTTTTCAGGTCCTGAAAATACATTTTGATTTGTCCAATCTATTCACATGTTTTTTTGTTCAGAGAAATTGATGTAAAGGTGAAAGATAAGAATTATTCAGCATGCATCACAACAGTAGATTCTATAACTTCTATAACACCAGAATGTGGCGTTATTCTAACTCATGGTGCTGGAGGTGATATGAATACCAAACAGTTGGTGTTATTTTCTGAACAACTGGCTAAAGATGGATTTCTAGTGTTGAGGTTCACATGTAAGGGGTTGAATTTGATTCACAGAAGTAATATTTACTTACACGTTTTGGTAAGATTCAAGCAAACCTCTGTAAAAGTATAGATCTTTGATTATATAAACCTCTGTGCTATTGCTCTATGGGCCAGAATAGTGGTCATTTCATTCCTTATAAAGTGTTGGTTGTGTTGTCTTTATACATTAAATGATTTTAACCATTGGCTATGTTTTAATGATTTCAGAAATATCTGAAGAACATACATCCTGAACTGAAGAAATGTATTTTGGCAGGTAAAATTCTATTGCAGCTCTGAAGTACTGTAGATGTTAATGTCATTGCCATACTCAAAACCTTTCTTGATGTATGAAAAATTTGGCATGATCAAAGAAGGTGTTGAACTAGATTGTTGTAGCAACCTTTGAACAGCCAAAGCCTAAGCCTAATAAGCTCTTGCCTCTCCATGTATTTATGAACTTAAGCCAAAAGGCTCCACTGACACTGTACCAGAAAAGAAAAGTCCATGTATATTTTGAATGTCTGTCTATGATCAACTGATTGTATAAACTTTTGAATTATGGGTTATCTGCTTGATATTTTCGCAATTCTAATAGTCAATGAATTATTTCAGGAAGATCAATGGGTTCGAGAGCAGCAGTAGATGTAGCTAACAGAATAAAAGATGATTCTGACTTGAAGGATTTTGTAACAGGAGTTATCTGTATTTCATATCCTTTATATCCAGCCAAAGATAAACTGAAAATACGAGATAAACCCATTCAGGAGTTAAACAAACCTGTTCTTTTTATCAGTGGCTCAAAGGATGAAATGTGTGCAAAAGACACATTACTCGACACATTGTCACAAAACAAAAATGTATCTTTTTACTGGGTTGAAGAAGCAGAACATAGCTTGGAAGGAAAAGGTTTGAATCTTGAAGATACTGTGAGACAGGCATGTGATAAGATTGGTACATGGTTTAAAGGATTAGGAATTGACTTGTGTACATCTCATGTCAAGAAGAAAGCTGTTAAGCGTAAATCTATAAAATAAATAGTTTTTGAAATTGAATTTTGTTTTACCTCAGGGTTTGTATGAAAGAAACATAGCCACACTTGTTCTTTTTAGTTAAAGAGCATGCACAATATCAGCCAAGTTCTTAGACAAGTCACAAAAAAATTGTCTGATCATCACAAAAGTCTTTTGGCTTTCAAACTAAGTCTATAAATGCAGCTGTAATTGTGACAATCTGTTTCTTTAAGTCTACTAGGTGTTCAAATAAGTTGAATGAAATTTGTGGGTAAATGTGTTTTTGATTACTAGAGGTCTACTACAAAACAGGCTATTAGTAAGTATAGGGTTGTCAAGTCAGAAATGGGTGAGCAAGGCAAACCTTAAAACTTGTGTGGGTCTGTTTAAAAGGGACGGGTTTACCATCTATTTGACCAATCACACCTGAGTCTAAGCCTTGATATCCTTGAGTGTCTAGAATTATTTGCGCTTAAAGTGAAAATAATGACTCATCTTTTCTTTAGACATATATAGTAATAGTAAGTGAAATTTCTAGTTTGAGGTATATTTGAAGAGATTATACAATTTACGTGCAGTTTAAGAAATATTTAAGCTTATTTACATATTTTCAAGGCTGAAATCAACCCCCGAAAATATCAAACAAATGCCTTAAATACTTCTGATGATGGAATCAATAATTATGTTATCTCTACTGCCTCTGCCTTCTCTTAAAATAACTTTGGCTGTATCAAACCAAAACAAACCACGTACTTCACAAAAGACATTTATTCAGTAGAAAATGGCTTCTTGCAGTTATCAATAGTGATTCATACAACAAATTGTAACAAGGCCATTTCTTTAAATATTGATTTCACAAGAGTTCAAGGGATATAAGTTCAAATAATACAATGCACTGAAAGCGAAGTTTATAAATAATAATAAATTTGGGATCTCAATGTCCCAGATGTGAATGCACCAGTCTTTGTACCCCAGGAACTATGTAATTTGTAAAATCATTATTTAAAGAAGAGTCTGTTCTTAGCACTTTTATCAAAACAAATAAGTTTAAGGTGTGACAAAATAATAACAAAAATTATCAACATTCTGCAGGGACTGACCGTATAGTCGAGCAAGGATATTAATACACATCCAGGTCTTGTATTGTATAGGTTATGGTAAGACCATAATACAACTTAACTGAACTTATCATGTTTTGAACGTAGGGGTATGCATAAATATCTTGAATTGACTATACTTGTTATACTCTCTTAAGGGACAATTTTCTAAGGAGCCTGGTAGGTTTCCTGAAAATCCAAATCACACGCTACACAGTCGTATATTTGAACATCACAATAAAGGTAATGGGATGGGTAAACCGTCATGTTTTTTTCAATTTTGAAAAGCTTAGAGAAACCAATCATTTGTGAAAGATTGCCTGCCCATAGTCTATATTTGAGTAACACCGGTGATAACAGATCACTGCCAATTAAAAATCTACAATAATATACTAGTTTTTTTTAAATAAATACATATATATCCAACCATAAAGTTGAACATTTTCATGCCAAAAGCAAAGTAGGTGAGTAGCCTGAGTAAGCTTAATTTTCAAATTGTTTTCAGATAAAGACACCACCAAAAATTTGGATGTGATATTAGAAAGTTCAGAATTTTTTTCCCCACATTTTACTTCTTAAATCATCATAATTACTGCCTTGGTAAAGAACACATTTCACACGAACCCAAGCCAGATGAATTAATGAATGTACAATGAGAACAAGTCCATGATTCAGTGGCGCCACCTGGATTCACTGCTGCTCCATCATTATAGGATTGCTGTCTCGAGGCAGGAGGTGATGGAGTGTGAGCTGACATCATCTGTTCCATTGTAGCCCAATCTTCAGATTTCATAAAATGGTGTGCTGCTTCTTCATCTTTATTCTTAACCGCTAATAACAAGGTTTCAATTTTATCATGGAATGGAAGCATGTCCATGGTTGCCATGAAAATCAGCAGGTGAAAATCTGACATGGCTTCCAGGAACTGATCCGGTTGATATTGTCGAAGGTATTGAACTAAGGCATTAAAATCTTGTAGATCCCCCACGTCTTCTCTATTCTCAATAACGAAGGGTTTAATATCTGGATTCACTGAAAAGGTATACTGAGGTTCGACTGGAAACGCTGCTGGTAGGTCGACTAATAAATATTCAACAGGTAGAGGTCTCGCTAACTGAATTACTTCATTACCATAATTATCTTTATCTTTGAAGAATACATCAGGAACATACTGCTCGTTACTGGATTCTTTTACATAGCCTAATTCTGGCACATCCTTTGTAGGAATTAAACAATCATCATTTACTAATGCCATACATTGATTTGATACTTGGTATCCTTCAAAATGGATCTGATTTTTACTATCACCGGTCACAATCACTGTCACAAACTTGGATCCAAAATGGCCATCAGAAGACCATGTACAAGGATTAGGAAATTTATTTTGAAAATGTCCAGCCATAATACATTCTTCAGCACTAAGAAAATGTGAATCAACTTTTCCTCGAAAATTTTTCACTGTTCCTTGTTGTAGGCAATCAGCCACCAAATCTGTAAAGATCCAACCAACTGGTTTCAATCCCAATTTTTCTGCAATGGACCTCACAGCTTCTTCTTTATCATCTGGTAACAATTCAATCTTGTTTTTTGATGTTTTTTGAGGAGGTTCATAAATTGCTGCTATAGTAGCTTTAATACCGAGTGGGATGTCTTTATGAGGTTCATATCTTCCAAACAGCATACCACATCGTTGATTACCAGTTCTTCGCCAGTAGTTGAGAAACCTATCAGCTATGGAGGGATTTTCAAACATGACATAATCAACATGTCTGTATTTCTGGCGATTGAGGGTGACAGCATTTGGTTGACATTTTGTACAGATTCCTCCAGGCCATGGTGGATGTTCCTTACAGCCAGATTTTATTTTGCAGCTGATATTTTCTAAGTTAACAAATTTTCCCTTGTCGATTCCACCAGTTAATTTACGAATGTGGGAATGAAATGAGAGAAATTTGATGGGAGGATCACAACTCTTAAGAAACTCTTCGTCATAAGGCTCTAATGGTACACAGTGAAGACATTTTCCTTGTGGACCATGTCTACATAGTTGCTCATGTCTCTTTCTGTAGATTTTACCATCTGTTTTGGTCAGTATTTCATCAACTTCATCTGTGATGTATTTCTTTCCATTGTTGCTTTTTCCATTGTTGCCAGCAGGCGTAGAAACAGTTGGTGTTGAACTGCCAGAGGCAGTAGTAAGAGTAGGCATCGAGTTGGGGCGAGCTCCAAGTCCCACATTGGCACTCTGTGACTTCTGTGAAACATCATCTTTATTGTTGCCTTTCTTGTCATCAAAATATAAATACAGCATATCGCCATGTTTGATTTTATAACTGTCTAATTTTTTACTTCTTGATGTGCGCAAAATTCCAGTTTTATTTCTGTCCTGATACAAACTCCATCCCAAATCTCCCAGTCTCAACTCTTTTTGAACTTTGTTTAAGAAATCTGCGACACTCTCTGAAAGCTTGGCTTCAAATCTTACAGTACCATGATCTGGGGATTGAACTCGAACAATTATCGGCTTCGACATTTTATTTCTATAATGAAAAATTATTTATTTTGTTAATGATGATGAAGTAAAATTCGTCTGTTGTCAGTGCGCAGCCATCTTTGATGATATCAGTCTACGCATGCTCAGTCGATGAAAATAAGTAAAAGTACGGATTGACTATTGATTATGAAAAGGATAAGTGCCCTCACAAAAGATGCGCTCATTCCTATTAATAGCAGAAAATAGCGTATAAGAAATTTCTGGAAAGTGAGGAAAAAATAGATTCAAAATATTCAAGATATTTAAATCTTAATGAATGTAAATGATAAAGCATCTCTTTAATGCCCATAGATTTTCCTTATAACTGATGTCGAAGAAGAATCTAAATCTAGAACTTTGTTAGATCATAGAACAGTATACAGTTCTATGGTTAGATATATGCTGATTTTGAGTTTAGGTTATTTTTGTTATTAGATGGGTGTAAATGAATGTATCTGTAATCATTTTCAATAGTTTCCTTAATCCCCCATATTAGAATGTGAGGTCCTCGAAGACATTCCAAACTAATATGAAATTTCGGTTTGCATTTTATTTGTGGTCTAATTCGTGTTAGCTGAATTGCGTCCCTTGATTAAACGAAATCTCCAAATTCAGAGGCGAAAAAACTGTAAGCGTTGGATATTTTCATAACAAATATCTGAAAGTGTATTTTTCCAAAAACTATGCCTTAGAAAGTTAAATGCGTATTGGATTAGTGAAAATGGACACTTTAACTAACTAACGGCCGAGTGGGAATTCTGCACGCTTGGTAGATTACACACAATTGACCTTTAAAATATCTAGGTCAAGTTTCAATATTGTAAACATTAGATGGTGTTATCTCCCCTACCCACAATTTGATTGAGATTTGATTAATCTGTAGTTAATTAACGGATTAAGTCATCATGGCTTCTGTACAGTTGAGGTCTTTGGATGATGGAAATATAACTGATGTGCCTGAATCAGGTGTAACTGTTGTAGGAAGAGGACCGTTTTTAGAGGTAGGCCTATGTCAAACCTTTCCTTATTCTAGGCTATGATGGGCCTAGCTAGCCTTAACGCATTGACTCGTATACTGATTGATACAAGTATGATTTTTCAACCGCACTGTTTCATGTTTCTTGCACAAATTTTTATCCCTATATTTGCAATAATAAAGTGACACTAGATTTATAAAGTAAAAATATGTAACATGTAAAAACAATAAAATGAAATTATGTCAATCAGTAAGCTTATAGCATAAGTTTATATTATAATTGAAATATTGATTAATTCTTGTTAATTACTTTGTGTATTTCAGATAACTGATAAAAGAGTTTCCAGGAATCATGCTAATTTGGAAATAGTGGATGGCAAACTTTACCTAACTCCTGTAAGTATATTTACAACTATTTTTTGATATTAAACACAATTTTATTGAAATCCCTTTTCTTAGTTATACACAACATTTTGATAAAGTACATAGTCTTCATCATCCCTATATGTGGCTTAAGAAATATATATGCATGTATATTGTTACATTATTTTGAAATGATAATCTTAATTGTTAATCTTTAATTGAAAAGCAATATTTAATTTAAAAACTGAAAGTGCTGATGAATTCATGAATAGCTCTGTGCTTGGATAGAAATAAGAATGAAATTGTTTCTATGTGCCAAAACTGCTGAATAGATATTTTATTTTCCAGATTCATGTGAATCCATGTTTTTTCAAGAAAGGGGGAGAAGGTAGTCAGAAAATTCTTGAGAAAGATGAGAAGTTCTGTCTAGAAGAAGGGGATGTATTTGGATTACTTCCAGATCAGTTGTTTTTTAAAGTTTTATATAAAAATAAGCCTGTAAATGGGTAAGTTATCATATTACCAACTTTGAAAAACTTTTTTATGATACAGGTCTGATTGTAGAATTTATGATAGATTGATTGTGACAATAATCCCTAGACGTTGATTTCTTCCTTTCATTGAAATCACGATACGAAAATTGACAGTTTTGAACAGAAAATTAATGGTTAACACCAAATTGTTGTCCTGGATCATTCAAGCCCAGTATTTGTAATTCCACGAAGCAAATTTTTTGAACAATTGGTTGCGAATAAGTTTTTGTAGATTATTGCAATGAAATTTCTTTACAAGATAAGAAAAGTAAATGTGCTGAAAATAAGTCAGCTTTTGTATTTTTTAGAGATAAACTGAAATAGAAAGTAAGCTTTTCTGCAAAATTATGTTTGAAAAATGTTAATATTTTCTTCTACTTTTAGAGATGTCAAAAAGGAGCCAGAATCTGTGCCTAGTCAAACAAATGGTGATACAAAATCAGATGCAAAAGGTAAAGAGCTACGTTAAAGATTTTGGACCCTTTCCAATGATTGGAGCCTTTTTGTATTATCTGTTATAATCTGGATGTCTTCAGTTCTTCTGTTATTTTAACATGTAGGGTTTTCCTTGATGATTGCAGCATAGATACTTCGACTGTTCCTTGTTTATTGTCGAATGTCAACAGGGACGTTAATGATTCAGTGTAATAGTAAGTGATCAAATTAATCTGTGATGAATTTCCTTTATTCCATAAGTTAATAATTAGGAATAATAAGACTTTTTTACAACTAATTACAATGTCTGTTTATTTCAAGCTGATCCAGATGAAAGTTGGGATAAAAGTAGTGATAATGAGAAAGAAGAAAAGAAACCTGATATTAAAAATGAAATGAAGTCAGAAAATAATAATGATGAAGCATCTTCCTCAGTAAGTAGAAATTTTTCACATTGAAATGAAAACACAATCGTTTTGTTGGATTTGCCTGTAAACTTTGTTCCATCTTAAAGTCTGGGGTAGCAAGCATGACGATTTGTTTGCTTCAACCGTTAAAAGAGTTGCTACTAGCAAAAATATAGGAAAAGCATTGACAGATTTGATAAGGTTAGGGTTAATCCCTTTAACATTTTTGTTCATTTTTATTTAATTATGTTTTCTAGTCTGGCGCAGGTCCATCAACAGTTACTCCCCCTGGTCAGAAAGAGATGGCGTTACCATTAGAAAGAAAGCGACAACTACCAGCATGGTTGGTTCAAGCAGCTAAAACTGGACCATCACCTGAGAAAAAGAAAACAGCACCTAAGGTTCCTGCTGCCAGTAAAAGAGGTACTGCTTGCTTTTTTTTATCAGCTTTGTTGAAATAAATAAAAATTTATAGATGGAACCAGGGTTCATTTTATCCAAATAGTTTCATTTGAGCCAACCAATCAAAAGAACTTTTTATACAACAAGGGTTTGCCAAAACTTATATACTATTCATGAGGTCTAGGTGTGTTTATATTTACAAAACAAAATGTAAAAATGATTATGTGCATGTGTGTTGATAATCATGTGAAATGACATTATATCTATTACCTCAGCCTCTAATCTTAGGTTAATATGCTATAAAGAAACAAGGTGGAGATATATAATACTAATATAACATTGTTTTTTACCAATGCAGCTCCCAGAGCAGCCACATCTAAGCCTATCCCAGAAGCCTTCCTGACAGATGGTGAAGATGATGATGAAATTATTCCAGTTAAAAAATCAAGTAAGTTTTCTCTTTTCCTTCAAAAGTTGGAAAAATTTGTAAGAAGAAAATTTCATATGAAAAATTGTCACAAAATAATATATGGGTTGGTAGTTAACCTAATTATTTTGTCCTGCGTAACATGGGGTCAGATATTTCAATCTTAAATTGATTATCACAAATATGTTTTCTTATTCCTGTCAATCTTATATTTTTTTGTATTAAGGAGGTCGTCCAGCACCAAGAAAACCACCAAAAGATTCTTTCAGTGAAGGAGAATCTGAAGAAGAACCTCCTCCAAAACCTAAAAATAGATCAAAGACCTTAACTCCTGGTACACGAACACCTCGTAGAAAAGATCAGTTCAATAGTGATGAAGATGACAGTGATGAACTTATTGGTCGTAAAGCTAAACCAATACCACGTCGAACAGCTCGACCACCCACTCCTGAATCATTTACACCTTCTAAACGTCCTGTCAGAGCTGCTAAATATGCCAGGGGCAGTTACGGTAAGTCATTTACTAGCTTATAGCAGAGTTAATACATAATACTAACTCTCTATAGAAAGAGACATATCTAGTTAATAAATCTAGGCTTAATTTTTCTGATGTGATGAGAAAGATGACCGTGAAAAATATCATTTTATGCCACATTAAATGTTAGAAGAATTGATTAGAAAGTGATTTTAATTTGATTTAAAAGTACTATTTCCAATTTTCAAATATTGAAAACTTTTCAGTTTTGCTTATTATATAGAAATATTAGATTTGATAGAATTTCAATGATGGAATGGACAATCTCTAAACTTTAATTATTATTTCTGTCTTGTAATGATATTGTGATAGATAGATGCAGTATATTATTTTATGTTGTTTAATCTTCATATTAAGATAATTATCATGTGTTCTATAGCATGTTTACTAATGTTTCATCTTTATAACTAACTCTAGTATTAACAGCATGATTGTGTATTTAAATAATATATAGCATGATTAAATTATAGAATCTTAAAATAGGGGTTATCTAGCATTTTGCATTGTGAACTTGGGTTAGGGTTCTGGAATTACAGAAATGACTGGAAACCAAAATGGTCCAGTAGAAGCTAGAAAATAAGGTTAAATAATCTTCTTTGAAGTAATAACATATTTCTATATACAGTGTATACTAATTATTTGTACTGAAAAAATTGCCAAGTCTACTGTCTACAATGTAAAATCATACTAAGATTATTAGTACTTTTGGTCTTTTGTGAAGATGACATTCTTATTCACACATAAATAATTGATAAAAACACCGTATTCAAAAGGATACAAAATTTCAGAAACAAAATGACATGACTATTGATATAGTTCTGGCATTGCTGCCATTCATAACCGTAATATTGTTGCAGAGCTCTAGCAGAACTTTCATGGTAGACCATTTGAAATAATAGGTGGAATATATATAAACAGTAGTCTTGGCAATTTTTCAGAAGCATGATATAAAATGTAACTGAACTGATGAGTGTATAGTGTAGAGTAGATTAGATGTGGTTTTTGCTAACCTCTTGATTTCAGTGGATGATTATATTATAGAGGATGAAGAATCAGATGACTATGATGAATTTGGGTCTCAGAAGAAGTATGAAGAGGACAGTGATTTTATTATGGAAGATGATGACTCAGGCAGTGATTGGGGATCTAAAAAATCTAAAGGAAAGGTAAGCATGGATGTAGAATAAGATATGGGATATTGTGGTGATTTTACTGAAAGAATGTACATAGGGAAAAAATTGCCTCTGACCTCCCATAAGCAATTTTCTGGTCCTTACTCATCCATCTTACCTAATGATATAATATATAGAAATCTAATGGATAGGATAGAAGATTGGATCTTAATATCTCCAATGATAGATTGTCTCCCATTGTGACATAGACTCATTTATATAGTGTTACTTACTGAACATTGAAAGTATGGTTGTGTTTAAATTTTAGGGGAAGGGAAAGGCAGCAGCTAAAAATACACCAAAACCACGATCCACAGCAAAAGGTAGTCGAAGTAGAGGTCGATCTCGGAAGTCAAGGTCAGATGTAGACTCAGATGAATATCTGGATGAGTATGTACCACGACCCAGTAAAAGACGAGCAAGTAAGGCAGCTAAGAGTGAAAGTGAGGAAGACAGTTCTCCACCACCCAAACCTCGGGAGACGAAGAAGAAGAAGAAACCAGATAGTGAAGATGATGATGATGGAGATGATGAACCCAAAAAACGGATACCTTGTGAATTTGGCAAGAAATGTTACAGGTATATTGATGTTTTATGTTGAGCAAGTCATGTTTGAATGAATCAGCCATTTTTTTTTCAATTTTTGACCTTATCCGGAAAAGCATGGTAAAAATTTCTAAATTTGCTAATGACCTAGTCTCGAAGTCACATTGATAATGTTGATGTTTATCACCAGCTTTATTTAATGTTGAACTTAAAACCTTAACATTTTTTGCTGGAATATCAATTAATTTTTTAAAATGATCCTTATAATTTATGATGATTATTTAGCTATGTGTAAGATATTCACCTTTCATTTATTTAAAACTAGATCCATCTTTTCATGAATACATTACATCTGCCCTGATTTCAGAAAAAATCCAGCCCATTTTAAAGAATGTTGTCATCCTGGTGATAAGAGTTATGATGAAGCTGATGATGATGAAGCTGATGATGATGAAAAGGCAGAATGTCCTTATGGTACTTCCTGTTTTAGGTAGGCTTGTCATTTATGAACATTTTAATAGTGAAATAGTTTATGAATATTCATCATCCCAGTTGAAATTTAAGCTGGTAGCAAATTACATAAGGATGAGAACAAAGTCATTATTTGAACTGGCTATTTATAAATGTCTCATTCTTATAAATGGGTGTTACAGCAATTCCTCTAAAACTAAGAATTATATGAAGCTTTTGTAATAGTGGACCAGATCTAAGTAGGACCTTTCTGATTGTTTTTACCTATGATATATTTCAGAACAAATCCTGCTCATCAAGAACAATATTCACATAATAATAAACCTAAAAAAGATGCAAGTAGACCCAAACGAGAAACTGCAGGTAAATAAGATTTCAGTATTCTGCATGATTATTAATAGTAGCTTTTGTCAAATTGCTTTGATGCACTGGATTATTCTCTTTTGCACAGCATAGACTTTGTGTTGAAAGCGTGAAAGGTTAATACAAGGACACATACAAAGAAATTAATTGGTCTTAAAAGAATAGTCCTAGTGTTTATGATACATATATTAGGGTCAGTCTCAGAAATGAAACTTTTGAAAGAGAATGTTGGACTTTATATATGTATATATATATGTATGATATTTTCAGGTAAGAAGAGTGTATTACAGGGTGATGAAGATGACAATGGAGAGAGAAATACCTATGATTATAATGACTCTTTTTTAGATAATAATGAGGCTGAGGAGTCAGAGGAGTCATTCTTCGACCCTGCAGAAGAGGACTCAGATTATGACCCGGAGAGTGAAGATGTGGCTGGACTCCTTAAAGAAGCTAAAGGCTTTCAGAAAAATAAAAAATTAGTGAAACCGGCCAGAAGTAGATAGAAATGGGTATGTGGACTGTGGGTTATTTTGTGCTATGTGAAAGTGTTTAGAACTAATGTTCACTGATTCAAGTTTATGTGGGAAAGTGACAAGAATAGAAAGTCTTAAAAGCATGGTTATTGTGGTGAACATAATGAATATCTAGATCAACAAGGAGAATTTTGGACACTTTAATCATGTCAAGACAATTGTTAAATTTTCATTAAAAAAAGCATTAAACCTCAAAGAAGTCGTATAAAATTATCGTAATCTAAGTTTTCTCATATTTGTGTTTTTTAGAATACATTGGTCATTTCTGTTGAAAGTGCTTGAAGCAACTGCCATTTTGTTTTTAACTATCAATCCTCTTTTACAAGGACTGGCTTAGAGTTTTCCTCTTTTACCTTAATTGTTTAAAATGAGATATTCATATTCATGATAGTTTTGAACTGAGATGTGACTGAGAATCTTGTATTTGAATATGTTCTGAAGATTTGATGGAGATTTTCAGTTTTGTTTTAAGCCTCTTTTAAGAGTAAGGTGATTAAAGATTTAAATATCATTAAAATATATTCTTGTTTTGAAATGATTACATATTTGATAAATTTATCAAAAAGAATGCTTATTTATATTTTGTATAGTAGCAAAAAACCAGTTTTAATTCATTTTTTTTTAAGATTTATTTACTAAACAGTACATTTAATTTTGCAACTGGCATTTTCTAATAATATTGTATCACCTAAATTGATTTTAAATTCAGTTGTATAGGCCTATCAATTAGATTCTTATAATGTTGATTTTAACTCAGATAGATTTGATTGAAAAACTGGCCCTAAATTTTTATCATAAATCTTTTGATCATTATTCCATGCATTTTGATATTATTCTTTTAATCAAATTTTTTTCTCGTTTTATTTTTTTTCAGCTTTTATGTTCATGTTTCATATGCCCATGTGCTACATACAGTGCTTAATTTTTATCAAGGCCATAGTATTTGTCAAATATTGATACAGACTGTTTCTTGATAGTAACAAGTTTGGGGAAATACAATTTTGATTTTCTCCTATTTCATTATTGTGTATTGATTGAATTCTTATCCTCCAAAGTGCAGCTTGGTGCTACATTAAATCTATCATTTTAAGAAAATTATTTGTGGTCTGTGTGTTGAAGATTATTGATTTAGCAATATACATTTTTATCATTAATGAAATGATCTGATTGGTGGATTGATCAAGATATTTAATTATTTGAAGTTATTTTATAGATAGAAAGTGTTTTTATATAGTCATATCTTAGTAAATATTGATGTTTTTTTTATAAAGTATATATATATATATATCATGGGAATTTGCCTATTTTGTTTTTGTGAAGTTAAAAATGATAAAATATGAACTTCTGTAATTTTAGGTATTTATTTAGCTAGTAGATAGACTTAATACAATGACATTTCTATGAACCATTAGCTTTAATCTGCTGAGTAGGGCTCACAGAATTTTCAATGGAGGTTCACCGGCAATTATTTCACTAGGTAAAATGATAAGAAATTTTAGATTGGTTGTGGGAAGGCAAAGCTGAGCCAGTCTCTTATCAGAGGCAATAGCTATTCTACCTTTAGAAATGCTTCTGCCTAAATAAATACTTAAGAATTAATCTTGAATCTTAATACCTTGAAAAGCTTAATACATCCCATATCTCAACTAGAAGCTTCATAATTTTATCAGTACAAGGTAATGTTGCATGTTGATAAGGCCTTGGAATTGAAGACTATATACAGATTTCTGAAGATAGAAAATAGAGCAATGATTAGCAAATATCATTTCATTCTGTAAATGTTTCATTGAAAACATTGATCATATTGTAAAGTTATAGAAATTAGCATATTATTATTATACATATAGATCATATTCATTATAAACTGTATAACCCATGTTTTAATGTTTTTAAGTTTAAGAAACTTTAACTAATTGTTGAACTATTTTCATTTTTTTGCATTTGAACTCTTTGTAATTAGAAAATAAGAAAAATATGCATTTATATAGTTATCATTGGAAATCATGATATTTAAATGGTAGTTTTAAACTTTGGAAACCTTCAGATATAGGTCAATCTGAATTTGTAATTGAGTTTATTTCAGAAACAATAGTATTTGTACTTTCAATTGGTAGTAAGTACAATGTGTTTGAGTCAACCTTGAAGAAGTCACTTTCCTCATTATATCAGTCAAAAAAGTGGGTACAGATAATTTGGGAAAGATATATGCCTAGAGGTTTGATGGTTTGACAAAGGACTAGCTGGTAGACAGGGTCCTTGAGAAACTTAGTTGTTATCTGTGAAAAAATTAAAAGAGCAGGCTTCATAAATTGATTACATTTTATTGAATTGAGTAAAATCTTGTGTTCTTTCTTGTCATAATCGTAGTAGATCCATCTAGATTTAAAATTTTAACTTCTGAATCAATTATCAATTATTAACAAGATGGGCTAAGTTTTACAGTTGTTTTGATCATCTTCCAATAGCTTCTGTCTAAAAGACCAAGTAACTACAAATTGCCATATTCAAGAGCACTGATAAAAAATAACCTATTTTTACATAGAGATCTCCAACAGTATCGTCATTTTTATCATATACAGCGTTTCAGAAGATGTTAGTAATACTGTACTATAATAATATATAGTATTTTGTTCTGTTCATGTATATTAAACATCATTGTACTAAATAATAATATTTAAATCTATAACAATCTATTATTTGTTGTTTTTTATACTAGTAACTGACAACAGTTGCCTCAGCTTTTAATCTGAAAAGTAGGACGTTAAACTCCATTCATTTCATTTCTGAGCTTAGTTTCAGGGTATGCTTACTCTTCTAGATATCTGATACCACTCTTTATTTTGAAATACTTACTCACTTATAATGTTTCGTTAAAGATTTCGGGTTTCGTTTTGCACATCGATCTTTAGTACTTGGTTTATTTATAAATCATAGATCTATTTCACTGCATGCGACGAATATGATAAAAAAAAACTACCCAGATTGAATTTTGTTGCATGTAGCAATTTACTTTGGTTTAAATATGCCGTCGAGGTTAGGGTGGTTGAATAGAAACATACTGGTATTCAACAGCATGCACTAGTACAACATCTTCGAAGTGTCACAGCCTGCTGAAGTGTTAATTACATATCACATGGGGATGACCACGTGATATGTAATGAACAGGCTGTATACCATGTGGTAAGAAGAAGAAAATAGTAACAAGGATAGTTTATTTCATTAAAACAGCTGAAGTAACTTGTGTATTTATACCACACATTCCTGCGCCTCGTTTAATTTTAAAGTAACCATGGTATCCCCATTTGGCTCCCCAAGAATTCTTCACCCACCAGAAATCTTTAGTACCAAATAACGTCTTCTCTGTTCCAAAACCTACCAATAACACAGCTGAAAGGACAGTGCAAAAGGTATAACGAGAGACCTAGGCGCCATTTTCTCTCTCAATCATTTCCTTGCGTTGACTGACACATCAGCCTTGTCGATAAATATCTATCTACGAACAGTAAGTTAGTAAACAAATTTCTGACAAACGACTCGAGCGTAATTACAGACAAGAGAGTGAACAAGACGCTTCTGACAAAACCGATTACTCCCCAATTTAATATCTCCCGAACAGAAAAAAAACAATCTGTTCTTATGATACATATCGTATTAACGTTTCAAAATACACAGAATTTGGAAAACATATTTCACTAACCATGATCTAAGAGTGAAGGGTCACAAAAATGAGGTTCAAAAATCCCAAATTTATAGAACTGTAATTTTTCAGCATTTAATGCAACTGATAGAGGTCCAGTCTTCATTAACCCATATGCTATAGCTGTTTCGTTCTGAAAACATGTCAAACATTACTTTCGTGAATTTCCCCTACAATCCTAGGCCAAAACGCGCTGAAAGCTCTTTTCCTCCCTTCCTTTCATTATATTGTTAAGCTTGGATCCGTCATACAGGCACTGATTACTCTGTACATATCAAAGAGACTTATAGCTATGTACCGGTTTCTTAGTTCTCAGAATGGGTCGATGTTGGATTTAAATTATTTGTTTATATATAAATATAAAGTAAATGGACGGTCCAATAATCTGTGAACAAAATATGGTTTTCTTATTCAAAAAGATTTGGAATGGTCCAGGATCTTTTGCTAAATTTACCCAGTTTTTTTATTTGTTTACTCCTTCCTATACGGCTTTCAAACGTATTGTCTTTCCGCTGTACTGTGGTGCGCAAAGCTGTTGGTTTTATTATGAACACAACTGTACCTTACTGATAGCATTCCAGCCAGTAACCTTCAATCCTGGTACAAATTTAGATAAATCGATTTTAGCTTCACAACTTTCATTTTTCAAGCAGTATGGCACGGGTGGTCCACAAAGAGTTTTATTGTACCCTTTAGCTGGACAAACGAAACATTTACCATTACCAGAGCAGTATCCATAATCATCCCAACTCTCTAAACCACCCTACAAACAATAATCTACCAATAAGAGTCCTTACCACTGTTATAATGATCTGGTAACCCAGAGATTATTACTGGATATTCAATATTCAAATAGGAGCGCTTTTATTCAGTCAATAGTTTTCTTTTCATGTAGACCAAACTAATGTTCTCGTGAACGACCTTGCAGTGGATCTTTGGAGATTCTTTGTCATAGTTCTTCGTTAATTTCTAATCCGTTCACTTAACGGTGAATGTCAATATATAGACAGATCATACCTGTCGTTCAATATATTGATATGCTAGGAACGGCCATCCACCAAATACACCACAGTCTGCTTTCTGACTGCAATTACATACAAAATATACATTCAAACATTTAATCATTGTCAAGTCAATTTTGTTTTTTTCATTTTGTAAATATTTTAACTAACCCCTGCATTGTGCAGAAAAGTATAGGACGTAAAACTCCATCCATTTAATTTCATTTTGCATTATGAATTTCAAAATATTCTGTGTAAGGTGAAACACTCCGTCACTTTAAAGCAATAAGTTTAAATTAATAGCCTAATGATAAACTTTAAAAAAGGGGAAAAGACTAAAAACCTTACTCTGGTACATCTTCTGTTCCATCACAATCCACTACTTGCTCAACAGAAAAATTGGATAATGGATGACCCTGCATGGCCCATTGTCCTTCAATATTTCCTACAGTACTGAAAGTAAATAATAAACATGACCAATAATAGAATGACATATGGAGGGAAAGAATTGAATCTTCCGGTAAGTACTTTTTGAGAAATACCAAGGAACAACACCAACTTTCCAGATGTTCTGGAGATAGCCGAGGTCATTGGAGAACAGACTGGAAAATGCTATATGTACAGACCTACATTCTATGTTAATAAATTCCTTTTTTGGTGACTAATTACTACCATCAAGGAATAGCACCGTCCACTGCCCCATACATTATTTCGTAAGATTGAGAGTAATGAAGAGTTATAAGTTGACTGTGTACCAGCGAAAGTCCGAAAATTTCAAGTATATACACAATATACCGCAAAGAATCGAATTTGTTAGTTAAACAAGTGATGTAAAAACAAACACGATTTGATTCAATATCTGGATTTTGGCAATTCATATATTTTATGTAAGAGTGTAACACACAATTTACTGTTGAGATAATTATGTACCTGAAAGCCCAACAAGTACCCACGCTTCCCTGATCCTTAACGCCTGTAACCATTTTCTTGTCTCTCCAGTCAAACGATTCTGGAAGGGGATTTGTCTGATCGAATTCGGCATATCTGGAATCGGAATTAAATATGATAGAAAACCATTTACAAGTTTAACATGGATTCAAAATACAAAGATACGCCAGTAAAAAATGGCAAAAAAGATCGTATCAGATGACATTTCACATGAAATTTTTAAAATATCCCCAATTCCGATATTGGAGCGTATTTAAAAGCATAGCCTAACCTAACAGTTATCTTATCCTGTTCACAACATGCCGACATCAAAGCCAAACTTGTTATTGTCAACACCCGCTGTCACAGGCTTGTTCGAAAATTTGTCTAAATGTTTTTAGGGTCATATTATATCGAATTTAAGGTAATATATCCACATTTTCTTACCTGTCCCTTGTAAACACCGGTGCGGTTCTTTTTGACATTAATACTCTCTGTTGAAACTCTGATGGAGTCATATCGGCAAATTGATTCAATTCGAATCCTGTTCTACCACTATAAAACAAACAAGCTTATCACAAACATTGTACAAAGCGTTCTTTATTTCGACTTGTGATTGTATGTACATGCTTGTGCGATGCATTACAAAGAAGAAAATTCCATGCTCCAATAAAAGTGTTTGCCGACTTAATTGCCGTGACGATGATGCATTGCAATTATTTCAAAAATTGTTTTTAAGGAAGAAAAAACTCACTCATATAGTTTATTCAGTTGATTTATATGATGAATGTTTTCCTTAAAGGTTCGGTAACTCTTCTTGTCTTCATGGCCATCATAAATCTTTTCATATTCCCCTTTCCATATTCTATAAAAATAGATCATATATAATATAATATTGAACGAAGAACAAAAAGTTTAACATTTATTTGACGCTGAAGAAATATTTTATATCGGCAGAAATCAGCACAGGTTCTGGTCTTTCATACTTTCTATTATTTTGGTTTAGAAGGGATTCAGTTAAGGCTGAATTCTAAATTCTAAACTATCACATTCAGTTGCATTTCTGTGAATCATTGGGTGAGAGGGTCGTGTAAGGGCCACTGAATAGACACGGACGTGTGTGCTTATAACATTTTGATAAATTGAATGAAACGAATTACCTGTACAGTTCTTGTAAATCATTTTCATTATCTGGATACTGAAGATAACCATTACTGTGATAAAAGTCCAAAAATGACGTTTATAGTCTTATGAACCATGCACATATAATACAAGAAATAATAAAAAATGACTGAAAGACAATACTTTTTCCCACGTCACATTCTCCAACCTGCATTGCTGATGCAAGATGATACTAGAATGAAACCATCATTGCTGGTTTGTTAGCAAATTTACCATTACAGCCAATTAAGGACTGTTCAAAAACTACGTTTCGACGGCAGTAGTTAAAAATATAGATGAGTACAACGTTTCCAGGTTTTGATTAAAGTTTTGACAATTTACAACTGAAAAGTGAGAGATCTTACCAGACAGCTAGTGCTGTAATTAGGAGCAATATCCTCGCCATGTTATAAAGATATAATTTAGTTTGTAATCAAAACAAACTTTGACCTGATAAATTAACTGATCAACTGATTCATCACCTTGATAACAAATCAGTATTGGGTACAGTTAAACCATTTCACTTATTGGGATGTAATCCTCTAGATCTATGGCATTATTGGCCACCTGTGTTCAATTTGGCTTCCTATTGAAGAGACAAATATGACTTTAGTGGTACAGAAACAAACTTATCTCGGATCCTTTATTGTCAATATCAGTTTATATGATTTGAATATTGGAAGTAAAACACTTTGATCGCTAATACAAAACTATCTGTCGAACTTATATAGTTTCAGAAAGAGTCCAAATAGATTGAAAACAGCTTCTAAACTAAAAATCATATTTACTAGGTTTACTAAGTTTCGTATCTTATCTATCCACACAAGCTAAGAACTGGTTTCATTTCATATCCACTGGAGACTTTAGTTTCTGTCGTGCTTACAAATAGATATTGAAGCTTATATTCTAAGTTAAGGCAATAATTCAAAAACCGTTCACCGAAACATTGTCGAAATCAAAGTAGTTAATTTTGAATGAAAACATATGGAAACGTTCAGAATTTAAGGATAATCAAATACTTAACCCAGAAAGTTCAAACATTTATCTTTAATCATGCTGGCGTTGTTAATCATAATCTTTAATTCCAATAAAAAAAAAAAGATGTTCTGCATAAAAATTTAGGATTGTCATTGCCTGAAACTTCATTACCCTTAAGAATTTAATCTGGGTATTATTATTATCATCTCAAACTGTAAATGAAGTATATAATCCTGTGGCTATAATAATATAAGTAGTTCTACTTGACGATGTGAAGAGAGTTTGAGTAGACTGGCCCGGGTCATAAACTCGTTAAACATACTTTATGTTTGTATTCCATGAATGAAGAAACTTAAAGGGGTGTCAAGGTCATAGAAGTATACAGAGTGCTCTAGGAATGGGAAACATATTTAATTTCAAACTAGAAGAGTTCTGTCACAGAACTGTGCGTAATGTGCGTGCGTAATTAGCTGCTGAAGCGACACGAATCTCATATTCTCTCCAATAACTATTCACAGGCTCACAAGCGGGGGGAGAGGTGGCCCCAACTAAGTTCTGCCTCCAAATTGCGTTTACGAGAGATAGCTGGCTGAACTGAAGGACTCGATGCTCGTTTTGTTTTCTTAACATCTTCTTAAAGGGACATATTGTTTTGTGTTTGACTTCATGCAGCTTGTAACTTTAGCCAGCTAGGTAAATAATTAGAGATCATTCTTTCACTATGTAAAATGATATAAAAGATATGAAAGTAAGGGGCGAGGACAGGGCAGGGCACCTTCATACCCGTAGAACCTCACTGACCACTAGACGCGTTAGTCGAATCAGCTATCAATTAAAGAACTCTATCTGATTGTACGGCTATAGTCCCTTCAAATGGTACCATACCTGTTCTTTTATTCATAACAAGTTATCGTCTTGAATCGTCATGTTCCAACTTGATTTAATTGCTCATAACATTCTCTTAATGGTCTATTAAGCAGAGTTACTGGCCTTGAAAAAGCGATATCTAGTATTTATGATTAATCAATGAGGTGATGAGATCTAAATGTGTGTTTCTTTGTTATAATCTTGTGGAGTGTTACGTTCTTATTTTTCTGCGCCGGACTCTGTAATGGGCTAATTTGGGAGGGTACCGCCATGCAGCGTGCCCTAACTCACATACGACACGGAGTAGGGTAAGGGTAAAGTGACCTTTGTCATTATTGTATAAGTAGGCAACTGCAGGAAATTAATCGGGACACAAAAAAATATGGCGGAATTTGCAAATTGTTTGAATACTCAGATCCATGGAGTAGGCTGTACTACCAAATTACCATTACACTACCATAACGAATTGTGAAAAAATGGAGACGATCAAGTAACTCAGGCCGAGTTGCACAGTGATGTCATTCGACCCGGGCGAATCTGAAATGTCTTACCACAGGAAATTCTTTTTGTAACAAGTTCTGATCAGTTGGCTAGATGGGCACGAAAATATCACTATCGAATCTTTTCTTCAGAACCGTTCCGAGACCAATACATCGGGGTGTCTCGAATCGTACTGAGAATATTTTTTTTAACCAACGAGTGAAAATTTGTCGAGACTGGAGATATATCGCCTGTGGTGAGAATAAGTCAGGTGTAAGAAGTGAAATATTAGACTGTATATTCAACTGATTATTGATCTATCGATTTATTCAATTTGTTTATTGACCATGTCTCGTATGTCAGTCTTTCCTATTTCCTTTCTTCTTTCACAGTGGGGCGTAAAACACCATTTCGTGTCATTTTCTCTTATCTCTCATATCTCAAACCACCTTTGTTTCTCAACTACCAAACAAACATCCAACAGACAACAGACCATCCAACTGATTCAGATCCATATACCACGTCTACCAACAACTACACTACGGTTTGAGATTGCTGGAAAACACGTTAACTTGTCATCTTCCTACCTACCAACCTTGCTTATATGGTGGTAGGATTTAAGGTAAGTTTTCAATATTTAAAAGGTTAAAGAATGGATATAGAGGTTTAGTTCAGCCATGTTATATCAAATAGGTAACATTTTGAAGTAAGTGAGTTAAATTATAGGATGTTAATGCAAGACTAAGAATCTTGTCTCTTGAGGGTTCGATTATTACTGTAGGTTACTAAATTAAAATCATGCTATGAGGACATTTATAAAGAAGGCACATACGAATTCAATCAATAACTTGCTTGATTTCCCTGCCAATGTCATTCAGTTTTAAAACTTAGTTGAGAGTCATCCAGTTTATAAAATCAACCGGGATTCATTCAGTTCTTAAAAGTCATTCAGTTTATAATAGAAACCGAGAGCCATTAGATAGTCGGAATGAGTATTGAATCATTCACTGGATGAAATCAGCCGATACAAAGTATATATATCACAGAAAATTATGAATTTGTATCGATAATCCTGTGTCGTTACCACGCCAGGTACCGCACCTCGCCTATTTGCACCTAAACTGCCATAAAGTATGCAAATAATGTGTTTATTATTACCTTTCTTATGTTGGTGCATATCCTACTAGCTGGCAATTAACATATATAGTTATTTGTTTAACAGAATGATAAATTATAGCCTTTATAATAAAAGTGTGAGTTATTTCTTATCTTAATCTTAATATGTAAACATACTTGTTTAAATTCTTGTCCAAATAAACCCGAGGCTAGTCTTAAAGACAACACTCAGTCGACTTGGAAGTTTAGACGTCATCAAACAATAAGGTAAAATTAACATTTGCTTATTAAAAAGAACACACTTTCAGAAATCTATTGAACATATTTTTCTATTTTTACCAACAATATTGTCTCATATTTTTACACTTGAAAAATGTCCGATATGATAGATCTGTACATGTATGGCAAAATAATAATTTACTTTATTAGACACTTCTAGATAATCTATATAATGAATTACAACTTTAATTTACCTGAATTGAATAGAATATTTTTCAATTTCGAGCAATGTGTTAGACTGTACATCATACTTTATGTCATATTTATTTTTTGTCAAGTGAGAAAATATACTTAGGAAGCTAGGATACGTTATCTTAGTAGGGTAAAAGAGGGATTTAAAATGCGTGTTAAGTTAATAAAGAGGATTATTATTCAGATTAAGCAGTTGTAGTAGATTATCAGCGTTATTTGAGACACAGGTACTTATCTTATTCAATACAGGCTGTGATTTGTACTGTGGAAAGAGGTAGGGGAGACTCAAAGCATCACCTACCCCGTAGAAGTGTTTGAGATAATAGTTTCTTTTGGGGACGGCCCTCATCTCCGCACTCAAATCCAATTCAGATGTCTCTGAGCCATACGGGTCATGAAGACATCATTTGTTATCATCGCTTTGGTTTGGTTGATTGCATTGATTACATGACTAATACTAAGACAATGGATTTATTTTACCTCAAATATTGTTATATGGGTTTGAGACCTATGATAAAAGTAAATTTAATAATATTGCAGTCGGGTACTGACAAACAGTCCTTTTAATTGAAGAGTTAGGATTGAGCGTATTGGAAATTACGTTTATATATTTTCAACTGAAAGAAATTGTTAGACCCTGAAAACATATCTACTGTTTTTAGTTTTTGTAGGAGACAATCCCGTATGGCATTAGTTCACAATAGTATCCTTTCTTGTAGGTTTGATAAGATTGTTTACTTTTGCTCAAAGAAATGAACGGGTTATCAGTATGATCATCCGGAAAAGGATATCCCGAGCCTTTCCTTTCTCATATTAGATAATATTATAGATGCCTAAGATTCAGTGTATTTTTTAAAATTTATATTACAGAAAGTGCATCTAGATTGGCTACAGGTTTGATTTCACCACAAAAACTGTACAAGATGTCTTCGAACAATTCTTCAAGAAGTGGGGCGCTGTTATTTGCCGAAAAGAAAAGATTGCGCCACAATGACTGTAATTCTGATACAAGCAGTAAAACGTCATGTTCAATGACGTCATGGCACAGACGATTCCGATATCGAAAGCGACTACGCATGTCCAAAAATTGTCACAGTACTATACCTGAAGTTGTTTATCAAAATACGTACAAGTTGTCACCTGATGATGCTGATCGATTCTGCGCACGCAACATACAGCAAATAATATACAGTGTTCTAGAATCCACGTTACGTGACAAGGAATATGATGCAAAACGATTCGCGAATCTAGGAACACAAATGGCCGACCAAATAAAAGAGCGAGTGAAAGCGTCTGGCCTTACACGGTATAAACTAGTAGCGTATGTAAATATTGTCCAGAATATAGGAGAAGGTTTTCAATTGGTCAGTCGATGTTTGTGGGACCCGGAAGTAGACAATTTTGCTAGTGCTACCTATGAAAGCAAAACCTTTAGTGCTGTTGGTTCTCTTTATGCAATATATTATGAATAAAAACGTCTGAATTGAAAATAATCTCTCGGTTTTATGCTCCATTTGGATCAAACAATGTTGCTTTCCCAACCTGTAATTCTTCTTTTTTATAGTGAACCTTGATCGTTACATTTAATAAAACTAATCGCTCAGTTATCATTTTTTAGATTGAACTAGAAAAGAAATGTATATAATTCGCTTGCACACGTTCCTAATATTATTGAACCTGGACCACATATCACTTAATCAGATAGTACATGCCCGCCCTTCTAAGCTGTGTTTGTCATTCCAATCCGACAATATTTCTGACTCTAAGGCTTTTAAACTTTTCAACTGATGCAACATGCTCATGATAGCATCATAGCAATTACGAATTTTATTTGCCAAGCTCTGCAGCTGGAGTTTGCCACGAGTGTACAAGATCAGGATTGTATAAAAATTCGCCATAATCGGATAGAACTGCTGTCTCTTCAGCGACACAAGCAATATAATAAGGGTCCGTAAACAATACAGTTTAAACCACTGTCAAAAACTGAACAATTTGGTGAACAATTTCATCTATTGTTACATTACATTATACATTTTATTAGCCTGTAACATATCTTTATATAAATATCTTGATGCAGTAACATTAATGTAACACAGTTTTACACGGATAGCATTGATAAGGTAACATTAAATGATGTAACACAGATTAAATAGCCTGTAACATAGATTTATATAGATATCTTGATTCAGTAACATTAAAAAATGTAACACATATATATTAGCCCTTGATACAGTAACATCAGATAGTGTAACACAGTTTTCTATATTAGCCTTGATACAGTAACATCAGATAGTGTATCACAGTTTTATATATCAGCCTTGATACAGTAACATCAGATAGTGTAACACAGTTTTATATATCAGCCTTGATACAGTAACATCAGATAGTGTAACACAGTTTTATGTATCAGCCTTGATACAGTAACATCAGAGAGTGTAACACAGTTTTATATATCAGCCTTGATACAGTAACATCAGATAGTGTAACACAGTTTTATGTATCAGCCTTGATACAGTAACATCAGAGAGTGTAACACAGTTTTATATATCAGCCTTGATACAGTAACTTCAGATAGTGTAACACAGTTTGATATATCAGGCTTGATACAGTAACATCAGATAGTGTAACACAGTTCTCTATATTAGCCTTGATACAGTAACATCAGATAGTGTAACACAGTTTTATATATCAGCCTTGATACAGTAACATTAGATAGTGTAACACATTTTCTATATTAGCCTTGATACAGTAACATCAAATAGTGTAACACAGTTCTCTATATTAGCCTTGATACAGTAACATCAGATAGTGTAACACAGTTTTCTATGTTAGCCTTGATACAGTAACATCAGATAGTGGAACACAGTTTTCTATATTAGCCTTGATACAGTAACATCAGATAGTGGAACACAGTTTTATATATCAGCCTTGATACAGTAACATCAGATAGTGTAACACAGTTTTATATATCAGCCTTGATACAGTAACATCAGTTAGTGTAACACAGTTTTATATATCAGCCTTGATACAGTAACATTAGATAGTGTAACACAGTTTTCTATATTAGCCTTGATACAGTAACATCAGATAGTGGAACACAGTTTTCTTTATTAGCCTTGATACAGTAACATCAGATAGTGTAACACAGTTTTATATATCAGCCTTGATACAGTAACATTAGATAGTGTAACACATTTTCTATATTAGCCTTGATACAGTAACATCAGATAGTGTAACACAGTTTTCTATATTAGCCTTGATACAGTAACATCAAATAGTGTAACACAGTTCTCTATATTAGCCTTGATACAGTAACATCAGATAGTGGAACACAGTTCTCTATATTAGCCTTGATACAGTAACATCAGATAGTGTAACACAGTTTTCTATATTAGCCTTGATACAGTAACATCGGATAGTGTAACACAGTTCTCTATATTAGCCTTGATACAGTAACATCAAATAGTGTAACACAGTTCTCTATATTAGCCTTGATACAGTAACATTAGATAGTGTAACACAGTTTTCTATATTAGCCTTGATACAGTAACATTAGATAGTGTAACACAGTTTTCTATATTAGCCTTGATACAGTAACATCAGATAGTGTAACACAGTTCTCTATATTAGCCTTGATACAGTAACATTAGATAGTGTAACACAGTTCTCTATATTAGCCTTGATATAGTAACATCAAATAGTGTAACACAGTTCTCTATATTAGCCTTGATACAGTAACATTAGATAGTGTAACACAGTTTTCTATATTAGCCTTGATACAGTAACATCAGATAGTGTAACACAGTTCTCTATATTAGCCTTGATACAGTAACATTAGATAGTGTAACACAGTTCTCTATATTAGCCTTGATACAGTAACATCAAATAGTGTAACACAGTTCTCTATATTAGCCTTGATACAGTATCATTAGATAGTGTAACACAGTTTTCTATATTAGCCTTGATACAGTAACATCAGATAGTGTAACACAGTTTTCTATATTAGTCTTGATACAGTAACATCAGATAGTGTAACACAGTTTTCTATATTAGCCTTGATACAGTAACATCAGATAGTGTAACACAGTTTTATATATTAGCCTTGATACAGTAACATCAGATAGTGTAACACAGTTTTCTATATTAGTCTTGATACAGTAACATCAGATAGTGTAACACAGTTTTCTATATCAGCCTGAATACAGTAACATCAGATAGTGTAACACAGTTTTCTATATCAGCCTGAATACAATTGATACAGTAACACAGTTTTATAATGATAGCCTTGTTATAGATACAGTTTTAATACGGATATCTAACACAGTTTTTATGATTTATTATTCCTTATGTAATTTATCTAGGTAAGGTCACCTGACATGATCATTATTTGGGTGGTAAGAAAGGATGATAACGATGTCCCGGCCTAGATAACGACTGTGATTTTGTGGCAATGGGTTTCACGACACTAACAGATGTGTCCTTAGTCGTTGGTAGTTCTAAATGTCCGTTTGGTTGAATAAATGGAGGGCGGATGTCGGGAAAAGGGGGAGGTACTTTATTCGGTGGAATACTAGTCCGGTGCTTTAGTCCGTACAGGAACTCTGTGAACGGATAAGGCGACGATAACGGCGATATTGGCGGTATCTGCAAACTATCCATATAGAGTTTGTAGGCTAACATTTGATCCATGAAGGATCTCTGGAGAAGAGGATCAACACACATTGGAAATATTTCCTCTGGTCTAGGTAAAACTTGTCGGTTAGGTTCTTGCCAAAACGACGCAGGCAAAGGTCTTTGACGCAACGGTAAGGATGGATGATTTGTAACAACATTAAGTGATCTTGAAGGCAATTCCAGTCTTTGAAAACCTTCTCTGTCATTTAAAACTGTATTTTGAGCTTTTATTAGCGGAAATGTCTCCATTTTTAACGATTAAAACCAAATCAAATTTACGAACTTGATACAAAGCTTCCACATCATCAATTCAATTCATATCACATAAATCACATTCAATATCCAATAACAAATTTATAATCCACGAAAACAGAAGCCCAGATTATTGTCCTTGGGAGTTAACTAAAATGATACATGATTTATTTATGATAGTACTTAGTTATACTAACATTAACAATTAATATATGTAGGTTGTAAGTTTACGGTGCTTCGTAGCTTTCCACAGAAACGTATTGTTTGTGCTGTTAAAAACATAATATCAGGAATAAGATTCTCAGTTTTACAGAATCAAATCATCCAACTAACAGTATGTTTTTTTCCAAACTGCATAAGAATAAACAAGTATGCTGTTCGTTCAGAATATCACTGTAAAAATGAATCACTTTGAACACTTTCGACCTAATATCCTTACATCTGTCAAAGATGGCCGACAGCTGTCGTTTGGTAAAAGGAACCAGATTACGAGCTGTGCACGTGTGAAATGTCGGTATGACGTTTGTTTTGTGTTGTTGAGAGAGCGAGCCTGTGATGAAGACGGTAAAACGATGTGGTAGATAATTAAGGAGAATTTAGCAATGATAAAAATGTCGACCTAAGATTGTGGGGAATGTTATCTTCGTCGATTGAATGGTGTCAGAGTAAATAAACGAATCTAAACAATGAACTCAATCCACCTTTAATCTCCCTTACATCTTACTTTTTACTTGCGGCTTCAAATTCTACCAGCGAATTCCTTACATGATAACTTGAAGTTCCCGGATTTTTACCTCTACGTTTGGCGTCGTTTCGCGAATTGTTTTTCTTGACAGGAAATTTTTGGTAAAGGTCGCATCATAATTCCCATACCTTCTTCCATTTTTCTCTCGTAAAAATGTAAACATCAAGAAGATGGAAACTCCTTTGATTCTTGTCGATGTAAACTTGAAAGCCAGGTTTATCCCCATGTGAATGTTTTCTGTTGTCTAAGATTATGTTGGATTATGTAAAAATTTGCATAAGTACGAATTCCGGACACAATCTACATTGTATACTCTAGGCTTTGGAAATATGGAATTTTATAAGGAAATAACAAAAATACCTCACAAATCGTGTTCTTTCTGTGATCATACGGTTAGAAATTTGTAGTTTGAGGTTAGTTTAACACGTTCATGTATAGCTATTGAGGGATATGACAAAAAAAAATGTTACAAACTGCAAAACTGTTGTTAAAAAGAAAACGCAACAGGCGTGTGGTTTATACAGATCTGCCCAACAGTCGAGTATCAGCATTGGACTACCTTTAATCATATAATGTGTTATCACAAACTGACTCACGCAAACAATGCCGCGAGAATTTTGATTGCAAATTGAACTATTTGTTATCACAATAGCAAAGATTCCACAAGTTCCACTTGGTTGAGGTCTGGCAATGGAATGACGCATTGATGCCAAAACATTATCTTTTATACATGTATCAGTATTTTGAATTTAGTGTTAATGTATATTCTAGATGATTCATGTAAGAGTGAGGCATAATTACTCTTTAATGTGACAAGTATGTTCGCCATTGGTTCGACATACCAACTTCATTAAAGGGAGTGAGTTATGTTACTTTGTCATTTCTTTTGTAACATAACGACAATTCCAATTTAAATCTAAAGCAGTGGCTATTAGGACTGGTTATGAGGTCCAAAATATTTATAGTGCCAACGGATCAAGGGCTAACGTTAGGGCTAACGGAACATGATTATCTTCAAGTGAGGTCTTCATTTACATTCCCGCCATATTCAAAGCACGTGTAATAACACCCTCAAGTGGTAAAGATTTCACACATTCCCACCAGGTGGTTATCAAGAACACGCAGCACATGTATCATTAACGATTCTTGTGTTCAATAAGAACTGTGTGATAAGTGTAGAATTTTCCACGGGTGGTCTTGAAAATGAAAAGTTTTACGTCCCCGTTTTCAAATATGACTGCCTGCAGCACGTAAGGGGAAAATTTTTTAATAATTTAGGTTATGAAAGAAATCATTGAATGTTCCATATAAAACACAGCCTGTGGTTTTATGATATTTAAAACCCACATCCAGTGGGATTTCCTCAGCTAAAGGGATTTGAACATCCTTAATCGGGAAGTATTTGTGTGACCTATAAACCGGCGAGGACTTTGTTTTTGTTTTTGTTCGGAACAAAATAAATAGTAATGTAAAAAGGGGCCACACTCGAGTCTAAAATATACACCCGTGTGCATTTGAGTTCTGGAGCAGTAAGAATTTGATAAAGATTAGGATGGAATGTCGCTGCCACAAACAAAACTAAGATTTGTATTCAATAATTTCAATCAGTGGAGATTATATGAACAAGTTTGAGGGTCGCGTACGTCCTTTTCAAAGTTTTCTGATGTAAATTTAATTGCAATTCTTTGTCTGTATTCAAAATTGGCAGAGGCGAAATGGGAAAGTGGCGAACTGGGAAAGAGGCGAAATGGAAATAAGGGGAAAAATGGGTAGGTGGCAGATCGGGACATGAAATGAAGAAGGAGCTTAATGGGAAATGGGCAAAACAAAAGGGGCAAATCGGGAAGGGACATAATGGGAAGTGGCGAATTGGAAAGGGTCGAAATGGGAATAAACCAAAATCCAAATTGAATTACAATGCAAAAGACGAGGCGCATCGTCCGAACACAACTTACGTGTGTCAATGACCGAAGTCTGCCAACATTCTCTTTCAGCTGTTTTAAATTTAATTTTTTTTATAGATGGCTTTTTCCCTCAGAGGGATGCAAATCGCGCCTACAAACTTGGTAATTTCAGTCGGTAACCAAGGAGCTAAACTTTCTATTTAAACAAATATTGAACATTAGCTGTTTTAAGAATTTAAAATATTTCGTGAATTGTTTATGAATGAAATATTCCGCCAGATCAATAGCATAAGATAGAGCGTATGGGATTTAGACATATAGAATGAAACGATTGGGAATACATAGTGTTATAAATATTTAATCTGATAAAAGTACAACACAATATCAACAATTGAAAGTTAACGAGTAAAATGGTCTGTTAATAAAATTGATCAGAACTTTTCCTATTTCTTACAGAATATATCTACATGTATTTGTATTACCACAGTAAGCTCTTTTTTCTCTAGGATTAATTTGAGTTTATTATCAATTTGCTATACGTTCCGTTGTTTTTCATAAATAAGTTCCGTTCGTTTTATTTCATATTTTGTGCTGATTGCGTGATTCTAATGATTGATGTAAAATAAAACTGTTATATCGGAAATTAATGCGGATTATAAAATTGAATTTAATTCATTAAGTTTCAACCAGAAATACAGCGACAAGATTTGTAAATCGGTACAATACCAGGTGATTGAAAGGTAAACAATATCCGACTACTTTGTGCCAAAAATCTTTTTCATTTTCACTCGAAAATTTGCCTCCTTAGACATATAGTTACCTCCTTTACATTTATGACTTGCGAACAATTTTCGCATATTTTTCTGTTTTAAAGATGTGAAACAAGTAGATCAAGTCAAAGCCAGCGAATACAAATTCGATTCATTTATAGGATTTCCACCCATTGCACTGTATATATCTTTGTCAGATCATGTAAAGTTAGTAGGGACTTACATGATAAAAGCAACAATTCCAGGCCTGCCAGTAGAATTGCCAACGAGTTTTGGGTACATGTTGGTGAAAATATTACATAGATAATAATCAGACACCGATTTTACACTGAAGATATGACACATTGGTAACACATAACATTTCATAGCACATTGACCATATCCTTGTACACTGTACGTCATATCTGGAGATTCTAGATCGGCGTTGTCGAACTTGATAAATGACGTAGTAGTTAAATACTCAGAGCCGATTACTTTAACCTACGATTAAAGACCAAATAAACATTTTATCCTTGGTATTTGTAAGTACATGTAGGAGCGGGACAATAAAGGAAATGAATTAATTGGTCTTATAAAGATGAAAAAACCATGTATCCTGTATCATAATTCCATCATCTTATATCCAAAAGTGTTATATATTTCTACCTTGTTCCCTTAAGTAAGTAAACCTCATATTAAGGACCGAGAAATATTCATGTGATTTTCAAACCAGCAAATCATCACTCTTACCATTTAAATTTGTTAATATGAACAAATGCATTAAACTTGAAAATAGCATAATTATCAGTATACGGACGATCCCTCTCCAATGAAAACTTCGACTTTCTTGACCCCATCTAATTATTGGTAATTGTTGTGATTTACACGTCGATGCATGCAGACAAGTGACTAAGTCATTGAGACAATATTCAACCGAACATATTCTTACCTCACAAAGAAGCAACATTTCGGCCCTGTTACCATTAATGGTTATTCTTACATGGCGTCCTTTAATAGTAGTTTTACACCAATACAGCTCAGTTGAATTTGTAGTTGCCAGACCGGGATGATAGTAACAAAGTACAGCATCATTAATAGTCTCTCCATCTGTGTAGATCTCAATAGAAAAATTGTGAGCCAATTGTGGTAGATCTGATGATAAAAATTAAAAGGAATCATTTAAAACAAATATATACGAAATATGATGTAACAGTGAATCATCTTCTAGATCTCGATCAGAAAATCGTTTACCAATAGCAAGGGACGAACAAAATATGCTTTACATTAAAATCTGGTTGACAGAAAAAAAAACTGGAGGATATGGATGCATTTATGATTCATGTAATCTTTTCTCATTGTCCCAATTGTATTAATCAGGACCGGAAGGATCTATTCATTGTGCCTCTCTTCAGAGTTTGGCCTAAAAAGGGAATTGACTAGTAAGAATTGTTCTTTTACATAATCGTCTTAACAATTGTTATATTATACTCAAGAAAAACTCATTACCATTATTGTAAGCTCTTCGTGGTTCGTCTGACATTTTAAAACTATTCAAAAAAACGCAGCCATTTCAAGCTTTTAGGATCGATTTAAGCAATGTCAGAATAATGTTCAAATCAGTGCAAATCAGAAGACTTTGATCATTGGGTACGCAAGAGATAGGGTGGCTTTATCAAGAAACAGGTACATGACACGCTTTGATTGTTAATATAAAAGCCACGCTGACATTTGCACGATTTGTGTCTGCGCATTGGCACGCATTATGATGTGCAAACCACTGCGAAGCACTGAAATGACATACCCTGCAACTAGTGTCAGGATAGCTTTATAATGACGAAGTATGGGGTAGCAAAATGCTATCCCACAATTCGTTATCTGATTGCTTGTAGATTGACAAATTAGAGGTAGATCGAAAAGATGAGTTGATAAAAGAATCAAAATATATCACCGTAAACTGGATGTGAAATGGCGACAGCTGAAATATAATATTCTTGTGACAGATCAACTTCCCACCATGGATGTGTTTCTGGAACAAGAGCAGCATAACCCGCCGTGTGACTACAACCTCCCGTATCTACACTTATTCCATCAATGCCGTCATTAGCCTTTCCCGCCTCAAAACCCAAATATTGACTAATTTGTGTAGCTGGTTTGTTTAGCGCTAAATTCCTTCTTCTGCCTTCTGTAATAGATTAAGTGAATTAATACAAGTGGGGAATGTTTCTACAAGAGATGCTAATGTTTTAATCTATTTGTTATCATTGATTGACATACACCTCTACAACGATAATGATGAAGTATTAGAAGTATATTCTCGTGGTTTTCATTTATTGTCGCCAAACCTTATTAATGATTAAGTTTAAAACTAGATACACAATCAAACAGCTTAAAATTCAGACAAAACCATTGTGGTAACGTTAATTAGCCACTGACAATTATTTCGTAAAATATTCCATACAGGATAGCACATTGTCATATAGAAATGTTCTTAATTATTTTCAGATCAACAGTTAACACAGAAATGCTTGCATGAGAAAATCAACCCATCTGGTCAGACTATGAACCGGAATCCCTTGTGATACAGGTTTTGTGATTGCCATATTAGCCTCACCCGCATTGCGTTGCACGTATGCATACGTCTAATAAGTGGTACGCAAAGGTCATTTCATTTTATTTCAATATCTGAAAGGCAATGACCGATAGTACCAAACTACTTTTATAGTCACTAAACTTGAGTAATTGAAATGCTATTTGATGCACGTAGATAAAGTTAATGATTAAAACCTTTGATGCACTTCACATTAACACAAAATAAAGTGATCATCAAAACAAACGCAAACATCTCTTACCCAGATCTTCATTTACTTACCTTAATAAACTCAATTTACCACAGACGTCACTTATTTACTACAAGAGTTACTTCAAACGTTACTAACTTATCATAAACTATATTTACTTACCACAAACTTACTCCCCTTATCAAAACCTTCATTTATTTACCCCGAAATTCTCTTACCAGGCATATCAGTATTTAACCATAATTTATAATAAGTTACTACTCTCATTACTTTGTATTTACCACAAATGCAAATGTCATTTCAGAACAACAAACTGAATTTACCTCAAAATTTACAACGAAACGTTACTTACCACAGACCTTTATGAACCTCAACTTTCACTTCAACTGCCACAAAATTCACAAACACAGTTTACTACGAAAAAAAGCGAAACTTTACTTACCCAAAACTTCTTTCTATGACTTACTACACTCCTAAGTTATTTACCACAAACTCCATGTAGGTACAACAAATTGAATTTACAGACAACGAAACTTTATTTATACCGAATTTCCTCAGAGCTACTTCAAATCATCAGCATAAATATTATTTACTGGCACAAACAGCTTTTGTGTATCACGGATGTCTTTAACTTACCACAAGATATAAAAATATTCAATACAATGCTGAAAGCGAAGAGCATAACAACCAACATCATCCTTCATTTACGTTGGAATAACCATGACATGATAGTGACACAAACCATAATAAAGACATAGAAATAATAGACAAGTCTTTCAATTGTGTGGCAAATCCATTTGTCTAATGTTTTTTTTTACGGGAAATTTTCTAGAACAAACTGGAAATGATAGAGCATTTCTGTTTTGACCAAAGATTTAAATGAGCTGGAATCAAAAATGAATATCTTGAATATTGGTTTGGAGCCAGTAGAGCTTATTTGTGAACCAATTTACCACGAGTTTTCCTTTTTATGCCCTTTGTAACAAGATATATCGAATGCAATCGAAAAATTCTTAAATTTGGAAAATTTTTATAGTGAAAAAAATTGCATGAAAAATTTACCGGATCGATCTGCAAATTACAGGACATAGACAGAATTCCGATACAAATAAATCAAAGCGTGTTATACAACATTGGTAATAAATATATTGGTTTGAACTTGGTATCAAATCAGTAAGCTATTGAGCTATTGAACAGGTGAAAATTTTGTCTTCATTAGAATTAAAATTACACAATTATTTCTATACTAATATAATCTTATAAACCTAAATTAGCGGACGGAGTAAATTGGAGAGTCTGCAGTCAGCATATCAACTCGTCGACATAATTTGATGAGAGAAGTTGTCGACAAACGTCATAATATGATCCAATTCCTATCACAGGTAACTAGGACTGATTATCTATGTGTGTTGTTTTTGTCAGTTGAATAATTGAGAGGTTTATCCTGTTGCGGTTTAAATTAGTTCTATTATTTTTTTGTGAAAATGTAGAATATTGAGGTGACATTTCTGGAGTGTAATATACACTTGATTTATCAGATACCAAAAAGTGTTAATTTCTGGTTCACAAATTGAAGGCTTAAAAGTAGCGGAGTTTAAAGCTAACAGGCTAAAAGTTTCAAAAGTTTTGAAATCCATGGGATAAAGTCTCGTTGCCACGCTCGGAACTGTCCACTGGTTTATACACTTCACTTCACTTGCAAACAAAGAAAACATTTGTCAATTAGTGAAACAAATACAAACAAATGGTTTGTAAAAAGTAAATTAAAAGTTTTAAAAGCTACTAACAAACTGGGGATGGTGCTTTAGATTTCAAATTGCAGGATTTAACCCTTTGTTTTCACAATTTCCATAAGGAGATCATGCTCCCAAATCCAAAAAGGCCCACAGCCAGATTTCATTGTTCAAGGTGGGGAGTTATATTTAAGCCCTTTTCAAGAAAACTATTGTAGTTGTTAACTCACTTTAGTTTAAGTACCCCAGTGTCCCAACTGTTATCAAATAAGCTTAAATAGAAAATAAATTAATAGCAAAATTGTAGCAAGATAGCCGCCCCTGTCTTCATTTTGAAACAAACAATACATCACTTTTGCATCTCCTTCACTATTCATCTCATCCAATGCTCATCCCAATCCAGGAGTAGCTTCTTCTCATTTTCGTTTGTCTCCATAGTAACGAGAATAAAACAAATGCACCAAGCCAACATGTCATGAGAAAATGTCTTCTCTTGTGAATTCTTTTCAAAATACTTGTCTTTTACTTATGTAGAACAGCCTATCTAAGATGTACATGTAATTCCCGGGATACAAATCATACTCATTAAAATAAAAGGAAACAGACATAGCTTTGTCGTCAGAAAGTCTCCTAAAAATCCCACAGCATGCATGGAGGGGGTGACAAAAAATGGAGGCCTGTAGAATATTCTAGTCAAAACTTATAGATGGGTTGCCTTATTTTCATTAACGAATATGAATAGAAAGTAGAGGTGTTCTAATGACTTGAATACCAGTTTGTCTCAAATGTCCGTAATTAATTCATAATTACCTAAATTAGAAGAGAATTACCAGCATAATTCCAATGAGTGACCGATCACGAAAGGTCATCCAGACTGTATATACAAGGGAAATTTCTTCGTTTGAGGTAGTACATTTCTAGTACTTCCAAAGATTATTTACATATATTAAATACCCACATCAACCCCGGAAAATGGCAATTGTCAAGCAATTGACAAGTTGTGAATGCAAGACTGACGACCGAAGAATATGTGAATGCTATCGCTTCAACCTCAAACACAGGATTGCGAAATTAGAAAACAAGTTGCGAGCTTCAAGAGAATCTTTTTCGTATCCAGACAACAAATCGCACAAATCGCATCATGAGGTTAAGAGGAGCGAAAAGATGGCCGACGACTAAGCCACGGTGAAAGACCTCTGTCTTCAAAAGTGAAATAACTCGTTTCTAAGTGGAATGACAAATGAACAATTACAACAATCGGCTCCAGGAGAATCTCTGACTACACGTATATAATTTGCAGAACTTTTTAACTTTTGGATTCGGTGAGAAACTTTGTTTTTTTATTTTCAATATCGACAAAGAAGAAATTGATAAGTTTTAAGCTGGACAACAAGTTTATTTACAGTGACCTACTGTACAGGTAACACCAACTCAGGTGCTGTACTTTTTAACCATGTCGGCAAAAAAAATTCAATCGACGTTGCCACGTACCCAAACAAGAAGAAGTTCCAAGAGGACTGAAACTGAAACACCTAGCGACGACACAGCGTCAGATCTAGACAAAATAAATTACTCGCTCGAGAAAATCACAAATCGCCTCGGCGACATGGTAACTTCCTCACAACTTGAAGTAGCACTTACGAACTTTTTCGACAAAATGAAAATTGAAATTAGAGACGAATTAAAAGCAGAATTACTTGAAACATTTAATTCCACTAAACTGGAACTGCAATCCAAAATCGAATCTTTAACACATGAGCGCGACGATCTTAAAGTGAAGGTAGACCAATTGGAGAATAAGAGCGATTATATTCAGGGAATCGCCAGAGAAGCCATCCAAATAGGGAATAGAAACGAACAATATTCTCGTAAATATAATATAAAAGTCTTAGGCTTGAAAGAAAAACCAAACGAAAATATACGCGAAGAGGTGAAACGGCTCTCTATATTATACGCAAATGTGAGAATCGAAGATATCGATATTGCTGCTGTTCACAGAATGCCTTCGTCCAAACCCTCTGAACCAAAACCAATTGTTCTAAAATTTTTTAAATCGGACAAAAAGACAGAAATAAAGCGCAAAAGAAAGACTTTCAAATCCAAAGGGATAATGTTGTTTGACGACGTTACACGTCGTAACGTAGAACTTATAAACCGACTCAAACATAGTGAACATATCGAGAATGCTTGGTATTTTAATGGTAATGTTCATTTTAAAACAGTTCAAAATGAAAGGTTTACTTGTGATTTATTCGACAATATTAATGAAAAAATCCACAATCGACGAACCGTGTAAATGTCAATATGTAGCAATTTAAAGGAGCACTGTCATATTATAGAAATAGAAATATCTATTTAAATTTAAGTTTGAAAAATATTCGAAATATTGAAAAATATCAAATCTCATTGAAATCATGTTAATTCAAACAAAGACAGCTCTCATTTAATAGAAGTTTTCGAAAAGATGTTATTTATAAACTTATTGATCAAATGATAGGGAAGAGCTCTTTCAAGGAAAAACATTCATTCTCCTGCCTCTTTGTAATTATTGAACTCCATTTTATTTTTTGTTTGTTTTTCCTTTATCTTTTGTTTTTCTTTATTATAACGAATATGTTCAACGTTTATAATTGTAATCTTCATACTTTAATTCAAAACACATCACAATATACACTCAAACATAATGTATCTACAAATACATCTACCCTCACAAAAAACATACACATGAAATATCAAAAACAATTATATACCTCGTTATGTATTTCCAATACATCTATCACTACACTATATATAATCACTTTAATAATTCAAAATGTGTGCATCTAAATTAATATCTTTAAATATTAGGGGACTCCGATATAAACATAAAAGATTCAAACTATATACATGGCTAAAAGACAGGGATTATGACGTCATCTTACTCCAAGAAACACACAGTACTCCTTCGGACGAACAAATATGGAGAGATGAGTGGGGTGGGGAAATATTTTTTGCTCATGGGAAAAGTAACTCGGCTGGGACAGCTGTGTTATGCTCCCAACATATTAAATCCATTACAATCCACAAACACAGACCTGATGAAAATGGCTATTTCAATATCTTAAATATAGATATTGAAAGCTATCCATATATACTTGTCAAAACTTATAGCCCTACTAATGACTAATTACAAGAAACGTTCTATCAAAAATTAAACTCAGTTATTAAGAATAGCATTGATTTAACGTACAATAATATTATTATAGGCGGTGATTTTAATAATGCCTTGAATAAGGATTTGGATTGTTTAGGGGGAAACTACAAAATTAAGAGAAAGGGTCTCTATGAAATAGGAAAAATAATAGACGACTTTGAGTTAGTTGATGTGTACAGAAATCTTCACCCTAAAGGTCTAACAGTATTATCATGAAGGAGACAAAAATTCAAAATTCTTTTTAAGTTTAGAAAAACAAAAACAAAAATCTACATGTATATACAAATTACAAAGTGAAAAGGAAAATTCCTTACTCGATAAACCAAAAGAAGTCTTTTTTTTTTTTATAAAAATTTGTTTTCACTTAAAACTCAATCAAAAATAGCTATATTGATCATCCAAGATTAGATGGTGACGAGGCTGACTATCTTGAGGGTAAATTAAGTGACTGGGAATGCAAGGAAGTTTTAAAGTCGTTTAAACTGAATTCTTCTCCCGGAAACGACGGCCTCACTTACGAATTCTATTGTGTTTCTGGTCAATCATAGGTAACCATGTTTTAAACTCTTTCAATGAATAATTTGATGTAAAATGCTTATCAAACTCTCAAAGACAATCCATCATTAAACTTGTTCCTAAACCAGGTAAAAACAAATTAGATTTAGGTAATTGGCGCCCAATATCTTTAATCAACGTAGATACCAAAATTGCTAGTAAAATTTTAAATAATCGAGTGAAATACTTCTTAAAAAATTGATCCATCCCAACCAAACAGGATTCATACCAGGTAGACATATTAATGAGAATAATAGAATTATTGATGACTGTAGTACTTTAGCACAGCAAAGACGTATTAACGGGATGATCTTAGCGATAGATTTTTCCAAGGCATACGATTCTTTAAACTCCTCCTATCTTTTAGAAGTACTTAGACAATTTGGCTTCAAAAAGATGTTTTTACGTTGGATTAGTACTCTATACAATGAAATCGAATGTTCTGTAATGAACAATGGTTACACGACAAAATATTTTCCTATTGAAAAAGGAGTAAGACATGGTGACCCGATCTCTCCAATACTCTTTAATTTAGCTATAGAAATAGTATGCATATTTATCAGAAATGATAGGAATTATAGTGGTATATCTTTTGGTGACAAAACCCTGAAAATAATAGCATTTGCTGACGACCTTACATGTCTATTTAAAGATTTTAAGACTGCTCGAGATTTAATTGAGGTTCTGAATCAATTTAAAGTTATCTCTGGTTTATCTATCAACTTGGCGAAAACAGAAGCTTTTGATCTGAACAGTGGCATAAACAATTTAGAAAACAAAATAAATAGCATTGGGTTGAAATTTTGTACCACTTCGATCAAAATATTAGGTATATTTTTTTCTTTGAACTCTAACATAAAAACTGAGCTAAATTTTGAATGTAAAATTTGCGAAATTGAAAAAGTCTTAAAACAGTGGAATACACGCAAACTGACTTTAAGTGGTAAAAATATCATAATCAAAACCTTCTGTCTATCAAAACTATCTCTACTGTTGCAATCAATATTTGTTCCGGAATACATTATTACAAAACTGTCTTCAATTTTCTGTAACTTTCTGTGGAATGGCCAAGATAAGATAAAGCGTGACGTTATGTATCAACCATGTGAAAAGGGACGAATAAAGTTTATTAATATAAAGGAATTTCACACAAGTAAGGCAATCTTTTGGATTAAAAAAAATCTTTCACAAAATGGCAAACAGAGTTAAACATAGATTTAACAGAGAGCGATATACAAGAAGTGTTCAAACGATTACATTGCATCTGTAAAGATGCCAAAATAAACAATTTTCAATATAAATATGTCCATAAAATTATTTATACTAATATCAAACTTTTTAAATTCAAACTAACGGATACAACTTTATGTACTTTTTGTAGCTCAGATCTTGAATCAGTCGAACACCTCTTTATCTACTTTACATTTGTTCATGAAATTTGAAATCATATTCGCAATATAATAGCAATAAATGATATCAACATCCAACTTACCAATAAAGCAATCCATTTAGGCATAGACCAAAATGATTTCGGAGACAATAATCAATATCACTTAATAAATCATATTATAATTCTGGGAAAGTATTTCATATTCAAATGCAAATGCTCAAATTCAAAACCATCACTAAACCAATTCATTTCTTTTTTTAAAACACAGGCTATAATTGAAACAAAACAAAATAAAAATTTGATGAACAAATGGAAATATATTCACATCTAGAAACTCTAAAAATATTCTTATTCTTGTTCAACATTGTGAAGTATGTTTATCTTTATTTATTGACGGCTGTAATTAATTTGTAAATGTATCGGTTATATAGCCCTTTAGATCTTGAATTGACGTATACTTTAGGAAACATAATAGTGTATAAATGTAAATATATTGTATGTATGAAGTAAAATATAAAAAAAAAAACAAATCGCACAATCTATTAAGGTTCCGTAAGAGCCTTAACGTCATTGCTACTAGATGTGATTTTCAATAAATAACCATAGTTCACAAATTATCAGTTTATAGATTGCAGAATTGGATTTTTAATACTCAAATCTATATATTATTTCTTTCCATTTGGGAGAATCAAACCGATCAAAATACTGGCATTTTAAAATATATGTATATATCACTCGAATCTTTCCTTTTTTTCTGGGCCAAAAACAACACGTTTTTCTTTACATCTTTAACTTGGTGGCCATTTTGAACAATTGCGACCATTTTGGAATAAAAATTAAACTTTTAAGTTCCCCTTGTCAAAATACATGCATATTGATATTATCATCATTCGAATGTTTCGTTTCCTTGATATTCTCAGCGGCAAACAGTTTGTCTCACCTTAAACTGGGTGGCCATCTTGAAAATGTCCATTTTTATCTTACCTGATCTTTTCGGAAAGAGTAGGTCCCGAGGAACCTCTGTAACAAATTTGGTTATGTGACATACCAAAAGAGTGACTTATCGCACGTGCATGGGTCGTTGTCATTGTTGAATCTGTATTTGAAGTAGGTCATGGTCAATGGTAAGTCAATGCGTTCAACACGCACCTACATAACACCTACTTCGGTTTTTAACCACGAAACTATTCATAAACTACACAATGATAAATGAAGGAAGAATTAAAAGATGTTATTAGGAATGTAGTGTCTGCTTTGTTGTCCATGGGACCCATTATTCCTTTACACAAAGAGGATGATCAATTTGTGTAGAATTTATGTTTGTTCCTTAACCAAGTGAAAAATATGTATGTATTATTAATTATTAAAACAATTATTTCACTTGAACAATGAACTTTTTAAGTGTAAAAACCATTTAGTTTTTAAAACTACGCTTTAACAAATGTATGATGTATAATGATGTTGGAGTGGCTCTCGTCTGCAGGTGAACTTGGTTTGCATCGGTGTATTATGAGGAATCATAAAATGGCAAATTGGTCAGACAAGCTTATCCCACAGTTTACTATTTACAACTTGTATATTGCAATGATTTCCGTAATTTTCAGTGATAGATAATATTTCAAACAATATAAATATAGTTTAAACCAAGTTGGCAAAGCCATATTTATGGCACTCTTTTGACAATAAGGACAGTTATGCAAAGTTCCACTTTACTTGAGGAACCCTGGACTGTGCTGTCAACATTGACCTTCCCCAATTTTAACCTTCTTTTCCTGGCCCTTGTTTGAGGTTTACAAAATTGTTCTGCTTTATGTATATATTGACGTTCAATGTTGAAAGGAAAAAATAACATTTGCCTCGGGCAATGAGATTTTATAATCAAGGGAGGTAACTATTAGAAAATAATTTTTCTGGAAATCTGCTCATTTGAAAATGAAAATGATATGAATGGATAAAAAAGTCAATTCCTGATGACGGTGTGAGAACCACATTGAAACGTTGAAGTAATACATATTCTAGAAGTATCTATCCATAAAATTGTCTTATTTATCTATAACCTGTGCTTCTAATATGCCTTTGAAAGATATGAATGGAGTTTAACGTCCTACTTTACCGTTCCATGTGGGCTATTGAAGGCAGAGTCAGGTTTACGTCCGTTGCGGGGAGGGGAATCGGAGATTGCCAGAATTTCTGACCTGGAAAATCCGAAGGTATTATCTAGGCCTATGCCGGGATTGAACCTTGGACCTACAGGTTAGAGAGCAAGCGTCTAACTCACTGAGCTATATATAAGACATAATTAAAACCTCGGACTATACAAAAAAGAAAAAGACTATTAAATCATTTAATTAACTAAATAATATTTTGGTATAAAAATCGAATACAACTGCATGTGTAGTACAAAATGTATAAATTAGACATCATCGCGTAACAAAAATATCAACCCTATTCTAATTTTTATGATCAGTTATAGGTATATTATCAAAACTAAACAAAAGAAAAAGACTATTAAATCATTTATTTTTCATTCGAATTATTTAGTAAAATTACAACCAAAAATCTCATATCATAAAAACAGTGGTTGCAGGGTTACCAGTTGTGTTAGCAATGAGTTTTGGATTTTCTGTGGTGAAAATATTACATTGATAATAGTCAGACACCAATTTAACACTGAAGATATGACACATTGGTAACACATAACATTTCATAGCACATTGACCATATCCTTGTACACTATACGTCATATTTGGAAATTCTAGATCTCCGTCGTCGAACTTGGTAAAGGATGTAGTAGTTAAATACTCAGAGTCGATCACTTTAACCTAAGATTAAAGACAGAGTTAACATTTTACTTCTGGCAAACGAAATGAAACAATCATGCAGTAAATCTTTGAATACTATATGAGTTTGAGGAATCTTTATTTTATGAAAAGATAGTTTTGATTGGTTAAAAATCACGACTCATTTGGAAAAAGTGAACCACGATATCAACTTATTACACCACTAAATAAATGTCCATCTCAACATATCAATTTCATTTTTAAGTATAACTTTATAGAGCTCAAAATTCAACTGGTGACTTAGCTAATTAAATGCTTATAATCCTCGGTTTATTGTCCAATCCAACCGACTCGACCCCTTTTCAGTAGACAATTTGAAAAATGGATTTAATTTGCGCATTACTCTACATATTGGCGGAATACCATATTTTACAATGTAATGTATATAAAATATCTCATAAAATCATATTTTAGAACATGTAAAAAATGAAAATCTCCGGACTTCCACGTCAGTTGATAGAACAAGTGACTAACTCTTAGAGACAACGTACAAAAGAATATTTTCTGACCTCACAAACAGTCAACATTTCGGCTTTGTTACCATTAATGGTTATTCTTACATGACGTCCTTTAATAGCAGTTTTACACCAATACAGCCCAGTTGCACCTTTAGTTGGCTGCCCCACATGATAGTAACAAAGTACAGCATCATCAATAGTTTCTCCATCTCTATAGATCTTGATAGAAAAATCATGGCACAATTGCGGTGAGCCTGTTGATAAAAATGAAATTAGGTCATATTTCGATATACGATATAACAATGCAACAATCACCCATAACCTTATTAACATCGATAAAAATACAATACTATTATATCAGCATCATGGGAAATATAAGAAAATAGGTATACAATTCAATACAGCTGAAAAAAAAAGTCCATTTCTGATGGCATGTGTTTCGTCCGACAATGAAAAACTACTACACAATTATCTCAAGATTCTTGAATCGACTTAATAAATAATAGTATAATTATGAAAACAATCCTGAGGTGACACACAAAGTCGCGGAGTGAAATTCAAATTTCGGCAGATTATAATTAACTCCAGAATTGTAAATCAAAGTGTGCTTCTTGTAGATTTACAAAATTATGATGGACCGAAAAGATGCAGTTTTACCTTGATATATATGTGAAATGGCTACAGCTGAAATATAATATTCTTGTAACAGATCAACTTCCCACCATGGATGTGTTTCTGGAGCAGGAGCAGAATGTCCTGCCGTGTGACTACAACTTCCTTGGTATGTAAATCCTCCATCAATGCCATCATTAGCTCTTCCCGCAACAAAACCCAAATATTGACTACTTTGTATAGCTGGTTTGCTTAGTACTAAATTCCTTCTTTCGCCTTCTGTAATATATTTTTAGTGGATTAATATACGTTTGGGGGGATATTAGCATTCATAATCAAGACAACTGTGCAAATTATGACACAACCATTAAAATTGGCACGCAGTATCACTGCGTGATACAGGTGACAGATAGCAGTTGACAGATAACCCAACCAAACTAAACTAACAACTACCATTTACTACCAATGAAGAAAAATTACAGTGCGTGATCACAACGAGGAATGAAGAAGACCGAGTAACTCACGCCATACCATCCAGTGCCAAGTTTCGCCGCAATGTCATTCGACCGATCGGATCATACGAACTCTCAACTACCAAACCAACAGAGCCGAATCATCCAATTGAACAAATCCAACACTTACGACTTCCATCAACTACCTAGCCTGCGACATCAGCATCTGCTGGAAGCGGGCGTTAAATTGTCATCTACCAACTTACCAACCTGGGCTCACTGGAGTAAATCGCTGTGCATGTGGGGTCCACTGTAAGTCTCCCAAATACTTTATGGTTTGTCATAAAGTCGTATCTGTCTGATTCGACAGTATGGGCTAACGTAGGATAGCCGAGCCAAGGAAGAATGGGCATTAATCCTCCGGCAGAACAGATCACACAAGATTTTAATGGCATTGAATGAACGATGGGTGCCGGTTGTACAGATTAGTTCTACAAAGTACAGTCGAATAACATATAAGTACAGGTTTCAGGTTAAAGGGACAGCACAGTACAGTTCACAGTACATTTCCAAATTTCTTATTGTGTGCTATAAGGAAAGTATAACATCAAGGACATGTAGTAATTTTCTCTGAGAAGATAACAGAATTTCTTGTTTAGACATTATTAGTCTGAGACTAATAGTAATAAGCATTTAAATATACCATTTAATAGTTTACTGGACATACTGGATTTCGTATGATTATACTAAAAAAGAAGTGATATCGTTGGCTCGCCTATTTGGCCGGAAGTTACATTTAAGTGTACATTAATTTTTAATCAAAATTTACTTAAGGAATGACCTGAACCGCGTAGCGATTTATACATAAGTGTACAGAGATTTTTTCCGTTTATACATCGATAAACCGAAAAAATTTTCAGGTCATTAAATCAACTCGAATTCGTGTTTAACAATTTAAGGCCTTTAATTGGCACATAAATACATAACATTTTCACATAACGCTAATGAACTGATACTATCAATAGAGACGTCGTAGAGAACAGCCATTCAGCAATAAGTAAGTCATCCTATTTAACTGCTTGAAAGATAATTAGAGGCCTTTAACACGCAAGTAAATATTCCAAAGAAATATATGAACCCAGTACTAACGATCCGTACCGCAAAACGAAATCCGTAACACCACTTTCCTCGTAATATTGATAGCAGCTAATGAACTTTCCACATGAGGAGGTATATCAATCATTTCATTTTACTTTACTTTCCAGAAATGTATCTTAATCGCTGAAAACGCCTCTAACCAAAATTTCAATTACTGACCACAAATTATCTTACTTACCAACAACTTCATTTTTTTTAGTCAAACGTAATTCACTTACCACAAATTTCATTCATTTACCCTAGACTGCATTCATTAACTTTACCTACCTACCACCAACTTCCATATACGTCGGTGTTCTGATGAAACCTTGGAAGTCAAAAATTTTTAAAATTGACTTATTGGTATCATAATATAGCATTTTCAAAGGGGCATCTTATATTAAAACCTTATAACCAATCAAATTTCATTTATTACCTTATATACAAAACATCTAAATATAATTCCCCTCAAAATGTTCTAATGAGCCTTCGTATGTCACATGTTTTGATAACTTGAAATTAACTTCTGCAAAATCTTCCTTAATGTAAGTAGCTTTCAGTAAAATTTTTCTGAATGATTTCTTATCAATTAATAACGTTGTATAGCATCATTTGAATTAACATTTCTGTGAAAATTTATTCAAATTTGTCTGAAAAAGTGTAAAAAAAAGCATTGCTAAAAATTGTGTTAGAGATAGGAGGTTTTATCACAACACATTGAAATCTTGATAAATTATATAGCTGTTTCTCGAATATTTTTAAATAAATGTGAAAAATATTAAAAAATATTTTTAAGAAAAACCTATTGTAGTTTTTGAATATAGTTAAACTTGGTATTTTGGGAGAAAAATTAAGTTTTGACATACAAGGTTTCATCATAGCATTTTGATTTCAGATTCAAAATGATGTCTAGAGGAAAAAAGCTTTTACAGATGAGTCTTGAAAAGAGTAACTCCAAAAGTGAAATTAGTGATACAGCAAATTTAATCATGTCTAGTGTACTAATTACAAATGATTGTAAAACAGTTGACAAAATAAATACGAATCCATTAGAAATAAACGCTCCTAGACAATCACCAAACTCAATGCTTAAATTTTTGTCTGAAGGAGCACCATCAGAAATAAATCCTGATAACAATTCTAGAAACCTAGAACTATTCTCTGTCCATGATATTGCCAATAATTCTATCTACGATATTGTCAACACTCCTGCCTATGATATTATCACCTCGTCTGCCCAAAGTATTGTCAACACTCCCGCCTATGATATTATCAACTCGCCTACCCAAAATAATGTCAACACTCCTACCCATGATATTTTCAACTCGCCCGCTCAAAGTATTGTTAACACTCCTGCCCATGATTTTATCAACTCACCTGCTCAAAGTATTGTTAACACTCCTGCCCATGATTTTATCAACTCACCTGCTCAAAGTATTGTCAACACTCCTGCCCATGATTTTATCAACTCACCTGCTCAAAGTATTGTCAACACTCCTGCCCATGATTTTATCAACTCACCTGCTCAAAGTATTGTCAACACTCCTGCCCATGATTTTATCAACTCACCTGCTCAAAGTATTGTCAACACTCATGATAATTTAAATACACCTCCCGTCAACAATCCAGCCTATAGTATTGTCAACACTCCTTTGCATGATATCATCAACTATCCTTTACACGATATTGACAACACTCCAACTTTTCATGATATTCTTACCTCTCCTGTTAACGATGTCAACAATCCAGAATCATCAAATATTCAAAATGTCATTGATGAAATGATTACAAAGGCTGAAATGCATCATGCCTCTTCACCTGACAAATCATTGGAATCTGGACACGAAGTTAGTGATTCTAACTACACCCTTGAAGATGATACTGCTTTTGATGATGATACAGTTCAGCTAAATCCGTCCAAAAAAGCCAAAAAGGGGAAGGCTGATTACACAAAATGGAAACAAAATCTAAATCAAAGCCGAAGAGAGAAAGGTTTGCAGTACTTTGGGAAAACAAAAGATGGTGAAACACTTAAAGATGTCAGCAGCCTAAAACCACGCTGTAACTGTACATTGTCTGGGAATAGGAAATGTGTCGAGTTCACAGAGGAAATGAGAAAATCGATAACAGAGGAATTTTGGGGTCATATGAGTTTGGACCAGCGACATATTTTCATTAACTCTATGGTGGACAAGATTTAGCCTGTACAGAAAAGAACAAAAGCTGCTACTTCAAGAAGATCTTTTATCTTTCAATATCATCTGAAACATTCTTTTATAAGAAAACCTGTTTGTAAACAGATGTTTTTATCAACTCTGGATATTGGAGAATGGAGTGTAAGAAATTGGTTAACAACTTCCAAGGAACCAATACCAACTGGTAATGATGCATCAACATCGAAATCAAATCTCAAAGAAAAACATAAAAGAAAAACACCAAACAATGATCACTATAAACGTAGGGAAGATGACAAGTTGTTTCTTAAAAACGAATTTCTGGAGAAATTACCAAAATTACCATCTCACTACTGCCGTTCAGAAAGCTCTAAACTATATTTAGAACCACATATCAAATCCATGGCGGACTTATACAATCTGTATATTGAAAAATGCAATCTTCATAATAAAAAACCAGTTTGTCGCCAAATTCTGAAGATGGAGTTTGAACTGATGAATCTGTCTATATTTCATCCACGAAAAGACCAATGTGACTTATGTGTTGCGTACGATGCTGGTAATGCAGCTGACGATATTTGGATTACTCACAGGCAGAACAAAGAAACAGCCAGATTAGAAAAATCAAAGGATAAAGCTTTGGCATTGAATGGAGGTGAAGGTGATAAAATGCTTGTTATCACTATGGATTTGCAGGCTGTTTTGCTGTCACCAAAGTTACAAGCATCAGCTTTAAACTAAATTAGCAGTACATAATATTGCACTTTTCAATTTAGTGACAAATGATGTAAAATGCTATGTTTGGCATGAAGGGGAGGGTTCCTTGACTGCCAATGAATTTTCATCGTGCATTTTTAATTATTTGGTAGAGAATGCATTAGGCTTTGATATAATTGTCATCTATAGTGACGGCTGTGGATATCAGAATAGAAACGTCACATTGTTAAACACACTGCAATATTTTGCAAACATTAATAAGAAAATGGTAGTACAGAAGTTTCTTGAACGTGGACACACACAGATGGAGGTTGATAGTGTTCATTCAGTTATCGAGAGAAAATTAAAACACACCAATATTTATTGTCCAGCCAATTATATTGAACTTATTCGTACAGCCAGAAAGAATCCCCGTCCATATGAGGTCAAATATGTCGACCATACGTTCTTTCAGGATTTCAGCGAGGTTGGAACCATGAAATCAATACGACCTGGAAATCGTGTTGGAGATCCCACGGTATCAAATCTTCGCTGTCTGAAATACACTTCAGAAGAACCTATTCACTACAAGATAAAGTATACTGATTCTTATGCAGAACTTCCTGTACCTAGACGAACCAGTATCATATCAGGTGGAAAACCAAAGGCTTTATATTCGTCCAAGTTAAAGATTAAATCATCGAAATATAAACACTTACAGGAATTGAAGGAGGTTTTACCCAAAGATTACCATAATTTCTATGATTCTCTTGAGCAATAATTGACGCTGATACAGTAGTAACTCTATTTTAATGTGTCAGAACTTTACTACCACTATTTATTACAAACTACACTTACCAATCACAAAGTTCATCTTCTTTTCGTAAAACTTGACCTTCTAGTCACAAACTTTACTTACGTCGTCACTACATGTACCCACCGCATAACCTTTAACTTTTCTTTATTAACCTCTACACCCTAAACTTATAGCATACGCCGGTTTCCTAACATACACTTAATTTCCTCAGAGCCAACTACGACTAGTTCCCAGGCATAATTTATTAATCCAATCATCAGTTTACCACAAATATTGTTAGCTGCCACAAACTTCTTTTATTTACCACGAATGTCTTTAACTTACCACAAACCGTGAAGATACTCAGTGCAATGTACACAGATAAACATATGGTAATCACCATCATTCCTCATTTGCAGCTTGAATATCAAGTAATGCAAGATTTTATCGTATCTTTGAATACGATCACTAAGGAAACAAACTACACTTAACATCAGTTATTTAGGAAAACCTTATAGTTTTTATTCACTTCACTTCCAATTAACAAAGACATTTGTTTATTAGCTAACATTGATAATAATGTGTGTTCATTAATAGTTTCATGATTAATTAATAAGATTAACAGTTTACTCTTTTGGCTTGAACAAGCACATTGTGAAGATCCTCTGTATATAAATAAGAGCTACCATTAAATGAAACAATCCGAGAGTAACATTTTCATACTACAAGAGTTTTATTCACAGTCTTTATCTTTTTAATTGATTTTTGATAGGGTTCATCTTACGGTGATAATATCCAATTTCACTAAGTTTCGTGTAAACCAGTCAAGAATTTAGCTTTAAAATTTTTGTTTACAAGCTATAAGAATTGAACGTGTAGTTCAAGTTTGAATATTTGAACCAGTTTCAAACTAGAAATACTATACTATTTTCAAATACTGATAATTATGGATTTTACTTTTTGCAAGAATTTAAATACACTTCACAATGTTTATTAACAAAGTGCATATTCAAAACAGTACGTGGATAAATACTAAAATAAATATACCAAGTATTAACGATTTAAACCGCAAAACGAAACATGAAATCGAAACAACATATTCGTGAAACATTGGTAGCAGCTAATGAACTATTCCCATGAGGAAGTTTATCAATCATAGGTGAATAGGAATTATTAATTATTAATCATTAACACAATCAAACAGCTTAAAATACAGAAAATGATATGGTTAATAAAAAGGTCAAAGCCTTTCCGAAAACGATATACATCTCATTAGCAAATATTAAATATTATTGATTGTTTTACCGACCTTGTTGAGCAGATGGGAATAACCGTATTGCCAACGTTTTGTGCACTTTGCCCAGCTATTGCTTGCTTTTATTTGTAGGTTACACCCATCAATAACAGAAAAAAATATAAAAGAATATTATCTCCCTTGAACTAGAAACATCTAGCCACGAACGCACATTTTTTTTTCATCGCCGTCGTTAGGTAGAGTATATTTTTTTAGCGCGTGTACTTTGGTTTGTATGAATTACGTGTTAAGATGATTTTCACTTATTCTTCTTCCTATTTTGGTCATAATCGTTGGCCTGTAGCTAAATTTGACCATAGTAAATTAATTGGTTTATATCTTTGGCTGATTTCAATTCATGACAATAGTAAGCTGACAGCGCTTTAATTCTTTCTACGGACGCATGACTTTGTTATATAATCAATAATGATAATCACTTTATTAGGGTAAGAAATTAGGCTAAAAACCCTCTCTCGCATTTCGCTCAACTTATATACACGTAAACACTCTACAAGACACAATTTTTGACAGATTTTGACAAAACTTGGTATGAATGTTTGAAATGAACCCTATTGAAAATCAGAAGAATCGAAAAATATTTAATATAAGTTATTGCCCTTGTTCTTGAAAACGCGTTCAATTTTTAGCTCGTAAAAACTCTAGAAGGGACATTTCTTGATGGATTTTAACAAAACTTGGCATGAGTGTTTATTATCACTCAAGGATGAACCCTATCGTAAATCAGAAGAATTGAAAAATATTTAGTATGAGTTAATGCCCTTGTTCTTGAAAACGCATTCAATTTTTAGCTTGTAAACACTCTAGAAGGGACAATTCTTTACGGATTTTGACGAAACAATCCGCAAAAACAAACCCGAAATCGAAACATTGGTAGCAGCTAGTGAACTTTTCACATGTGAAAGTAGATCAATCCTAAGTAAGTAAGAATTTCATAATGGAAGTGGTATCAGGTATCTAATATATACAGAAAAATTTCAAAAGGTGCATGTTCAATTGGTGTCTTTCATAGGCTTTCTTCCCCTATCAAGTGACAAGAATGACCGCATTTTAAGTTATAATACGTGAATGAATTGCAAGCAAACAAGAAGGCCTATTTCACTTTGTTAGTAGCTGAAATCGAGCCAAAATATTTGGTAAACCAAATAATTAGACGTTTAATCTTATTAATAATAAACCTATTGAGGAACATCTATTTGTCAAGTAACCTAATAAACATGTCATGTTTGCTTGCAAATATATAATACGGATTTTTTTATTACATTTGGATATATATATGTTACAGTCAATCTGTGAAATCAGCCATTTCATGAAATGCCTGAAATTTTCAGCCTTTTCATGAAATCACCAATTCACTCAGCCATTTCATGAAATGGTTAAATATTTCAGGCTTTTCAGGAAATGGCTGAAATTTCCATGTTTAAGTTACACTGATTGGCTGGTGCAATTTCAGCCAATCTGTGTAATAATCTTTGGCTTTATAGGGACTTTGATAGTATAGTTTGTTTGATAAAATAATTGACAAATAATTGTTATAAATGATTTTAATTTTGTGATTATCAGTTCAAATACATCTTTAAATCAATGCAAATGATTTTTGCACTTAGTAATTTATTCTTATCTATAAATATAATCTTTTTATTTAATGAATGGTTAATTAATGCAGGCTTACTTGATTGTAGAATATGGGCTCAATCACTTATTATCCTATCCTATATTATTATATTTTACAAGATTCTCTCCCATACAGTAACAAGTCATCCTAATCATTTAGGATAATCCCCACTCTGAGTTGCTTATTGAAGCCCCATGTTTGCTTATTGCCACTGCCATTAATCCTTAATTAACTAAATTAAGAGAAGCTTTGTTTCAAAAGTATTCCTAGAAACGTTTACTATCAGATAATCACCGACTTGAAGTTGGCAGCAGACCCTCAAACCAAGAAATCAAGACACCAGTACTACCTACTGTCAAAATATGAACTACTATTGTGTGGCGATGTTGAAAAGCTTATCAAGAAAAGACAATCACCAGAAGAAAGTGCAATAGTAGATGCCACAGCAGTCTTACATGTAACAATAAATGACTCCATGAATATTATTAATGTGCTATTATTATTCTTGTTGTTTAAATAATGTACAAAACTGTTATAAAAATAAAAAATGTTGTTAAAATTAGTCTTCTTATATATTAGCCCACCTGATTCTCATGCCCTTCCCTAAGAATTTTGATTTTAGCTATTTCATGAAATGGCTGGAGCAATATTTTAGCCATTTCCTGAAAAGCCTGAAATATTTAGCCATTTCATGAATTGGTCATTTCCTGAAAAGGCTAAAAATTTCAGGCATTTCATGAAATGGCTGATTTCACAGATTGACTGTAACTTATATACATGACAGAAGTCACCAATAATGACACGAAGGAAAATTATACTGAGACTGGCAGAACACACGATTAAATAAAGATTTCAAAAGTATGAAAATAGCACCGAACTCTCAAAGCCTACTTGGCAACTTAAACTTCAAAAACAATAATTGCAAAATATCCTGTTACATTGATAGCACAAATAAAACATGTATGTTTAACTAAGCTTTCCATTATTAAAGATGGGTTTCCTTATTTTTTAGTGTCAAATTAAGCAAACTATTTGATTAATTGGTGTTCTAATGAATAATCATGTATTCTTAATCATATCAATATGTTCTTATTGAGTTTTAACCAATCATAAATGTCCATGTATGTACAGTCTGGATAAACTAAAAAATACTTTTTGACCTTTCTTGATCGGTTACTCATTGGAATTCTGGTGGTAATTCTCTTCTAATTTAGCTTATTATGAATTAATTATGGGTATATGAGACAAACTGGTATTTTTCCAAGTCAATAGAATACCTCTTCTTTCTATTCATATAAGAATTAGCATTTTCATTTTCATAAAAAAAAAAAGTAAACCCATCTTTAATGCCCCAAAGCCGACTTCTTTAAACATACGTTCGGAACTTGTCACGAAATGTAGACATGAGAATAAGATCTACTTGTCTAACATCAGTAGGTCATTTGTCTGACAATGATGAAACTATGCAAACTACATTTTTATCTACTAGTGTTGTGTATAGGGTGAACAGTGTTTATTTAAAGTCTCAGTCTTACAGGTAATTAAGGTATCAACAGATATTTCTGCTTATTGGTCGACAGTTTTGCGATGTTCGCCGATAATCTGTGATAGATCTGCTGACTTGGACCAAGATTAGTCAAATCAATACATACCCAGGCTATGATGGTCTTTAAGCTGAAATTTATAAAGCTTTTTCCTCAATAAGTACATTGTTATTAAATGTGATTAACTATATTTTCGAAAACAATATATTATCAGCATGTCTACGTCCATCGATTTTAAAATTAATATCAAGAGAGAACAAAGATAAGTTCATTCTTAATAACTGGAGGCCGATTACACTTGTTTACTTAGATTTAATTTTACTTATGATTTTAGTATACAACAGATTAAAACGCGTTTTACACAAACCTATACATCCGGACCAATCCGCTTTCGTTCCGAACCGACATATTAAAGAAAACATTATATTAATAATCTTTCAACGGCATATAAGAAGCACGGGTTTTAGAAGAATAAGACAATTATTATGGATGGACACTTTTAGAATATGTATTACTTTCAACGTTTCAATGTGGTTCTCACACCCTCATCAAATGAATTCATTATATTTCTGTGAGAACCACAAAGTCGAAATTCACAGTCGGACTTAAGATGTAGTCTGTATTAAGTTTTACGTTTGTTTTGCATTTTTCAATATGGCGACTATTTCGTCTTGTGAATATGTTAGTTCAAATTAGTGCAAATTCTATTCTAGCAATCAAAAACAATCTTCAGACTATGTACTATTTCCAATGTACCTGGCAATTTGTCCTCCAATAATAGCCGAGTCAGTGTTCAACTATCGTATATAATATGGGCGAAGGTTGAACCAAATGAAATACGAACAGATAATTCCAACACCCAATAAAACATAACTTAAAAAGCTTACGTAAACCTGTTCTAATAGTTTTGTCACAAGGTCGACTTAGCCCACCACTATATATGAAAATGAATTTGGCCGTGACGAACGTCGAGACCTCGATGAGCGAAACCACAATCACACTAATAATATTGTCAGCCAATACTTAATAACCTTACAGAATGTATAGTAAATAATGCATATCTTCCAAGATCGTTTAGGATCCTTAAGACATACTTAATAAATACAATTTGGAAATATTCCATTTGGAGAGAATATATATATGACCCCATATTTCCGATCCATACATAATTATTCGTTTATATCATTTTATCAAACATTTGCATTGCAATGCCTACAAGTGGCTGCTTACTAAGGGGTGGTGCTTTATAGAGGTATGGTTTATCCAGCTAAGAATGACGTTGATATTTTGAGATAACATTTAATAATAACACTCACAATACACATATAACAATACAATGGAATTAACGATGTTCAACATTAAAATAATCTTCTAGACATGTCTGTTTTACACTTTTGATTTTCTTGTTGCTAATTTTTCCACACAATATGGTTATGTTCACAAACGAATCAAGCCAACCATTAGATGCTATGAATGAATCCACCTTTAAATCGGACGCAAATTGTAACGCTTTAGTTTTCAATAAAGGATCGGTGATGTGCACATTTCGCAATCATGGAAAAATTCCAGAGCTAATTTATTGATATCTCCATTACCGGTGATCTTTTGACACTGCTTTTCTGGGTTACCGTTACTCTAGTACTCTTCCATAACTTCGGCTTTTCGTTTCAATATCTGCGTTCTACCAACACCAATAATTTTATTTTTGGTAATAAAATGTTTATCCGCAAGAAGTTTAAACACATGAATTACACGTTTTGTTTTCAATTACATGCGAAAATTTCCATGAATTCCATTGAATAAGGAAGTGAAAATCTTTTGTTTACACCGATGTGTTTTTTTTTCAGACTTGTGACTAATTGATTATTTACTAATTGATTATACACTCAAAGGAAACGAAATTGATTACCTGTATAACAATACAAACTATTTTTTAAATATTTGTTTGCACTCATTACCATAGAGTTATTGCAAATTGTAAAAATAGCGATGCCATCTTAATACGCCCACATTTGTAATGGCAGCTAATTTGTCATGGGGGTTGACAAGAGTTATCAGTAAATGAATGTTTCTGAGAGTAAAATTTTCATATTTCATTGGTTTTGTTTACAGCTTTTTTTTATCCAAGTGGGATTAATTTAACATGTCAAGTTTCATTTAATCCAAATAGAATTGAATCTTTTGAGTGGCAAATCTTTGTGTTAAGACAGTTATATATTTACAGACAGACAGACAGGGGCGACGGCTATATGGGGTTTATCCTTGGGTGATTACAAACACTCACACCACGTTTCGTCAAAATCCATCAAGCAACCAGCTCTTTATCGTGTCCACAAACAATTCTAGAACAAGGGCAATAACTCATAGTAAATATTTTTCGATTCGCCTGATTTTCAATAGCGCTAATCCTTGGGTGATTACAAACACTCACGACAAGTTTCGTCAAAATCCATCAAGAAAACAGCTCTCTATTGTGTCCACAAGACAGACAGGCAGACAGACAGGGGCGACGACTATATACGCCCACATTAATGTGTGGGCGTATAAAAAATTACAGTATAGGGACTTCCTGTAGAGTTGCCTACGAGCAGAGTATTTTCTTGTGTAAAAATATTACATTGATAATAATCAGACACCAATTTAACACTGAAGATATGACACATTGGTAACACATAGCACTTCATAGCACATTGACCATATCCTTGTACACTGTACGTCATATCCGGAGTGATTGATAATTCAACATTTTCTAATTGAATGTATGCCGACCTGATACTGGCAAGATGTGTCCCAAATACTCGAACCTAAAATATTAACAAGTTTTAGTTTAAATTATAATGGCGGAAATGATTATTAATGGTCTTTGTAAGCATATTTTGGGAACATTAGTTACATTGATGCAAACACTATAAAAGCTCCACCAAGTTAAAACCAATATCCGATCAAATTTGGACAATATGGATTTATTGAATTTACAAACTATAAAATTTTGTTAACATCCTACTTTTCTACTGCTGATGTGGCTATTGAGAATGATAAATTGATAGATTTTAATTTTTTACTGGCATGGGGTACTTGACTTCACAGCCTATAGCACACAGTTTATTGTCCCTACCGAACAGATAATTTCCTTACTGACAGGGGTTCAAAGATTAGAAGGTAGGCCAACTGGTCTGGGGGCCGAAACCAGAACCCTTTGGATTGCGTAATAATAAACAGATAACACCGATACTTAGGCTTAACGGATATCGGATTTCCATTTTTTGGAATTTACCCCGAAATTAAACTGGTAAAGCAAATTTTAAAACTACCATATATTTTGAAACTTACCTCACACAATACTAGAAACTCTCTAGTGCCCGGTTGACCATTGATAGTAATTCTTACATAGCGACCTTTTATTATCTGTTTACAATTATACATTACGGTCTTTCCTCTGGTTCCTTTACCCACATGATAGTAACAAAGTTCGGCATCAGAAACAGACTCTCCTTCTTTATAGATCTCAATAGAAAAATTGTGTGCCACTTGTCGAATGGCTGCAAGATAAGAATGAATAACAAAAGTTTACAGACACCGACAATTTCAAACTAGTGCAAGATCTCATCTATTTAAATAATAATTTACCTAAATCTATGGTATCTTTAGTTTCTTTTGTTCTTAAAAGCTGTTTGACTGTTTTTGACATTTAACCCTAAGCAACTCCGCATTAGTTAATTCGCATCTGCAACTGACCCAAGACGCCCCCACATTCAAGCAAAGACGTCTCCACATTGCGCCCCCACAATAAAGACTTGTGGACCGACAGACGGAGAAGGTCACAGGATTCCGGTACATTATATATATATGAGTTTTTACAGATTTAAGTATTTTCGATTTTTTTTTATCTATGCATGAAACACCAAGATAGTAATTGTTTGGAAGTGGATGGGGTAAAAAAAAAACGTAATATTTACCGCTCGCGGTATGAGTTACGACCACAGAGTAGATGAAGTAGTCTTGCATGATATCAACTTCCCACCAAGGTAAAGGATTGGTTGGGATGACAGCCGTATTCGAACAACTGGATTGACTGGACACTAATCCATCTATACCATCAATCGCTCTGGATGCAACATATGCCAGATAAGTGCTAATTTGGCTAGCTGATTTATTAACAGCCACATTTACTAAACCACAGACTGAAAGGAAAACTTGAAGAGGAATTGTCTACAATCATGTGAAAAGTTTTGGTCGGAATCCCATTTGGCTTTAATGTCACCATTATGGTAATATATATGACCAAAAAATAGTTATCCCATCGTACGGGCAGGTAACTAGAATAGGTAAAAATGTTGAATTATCATAATGTAGCCTATTTGAAATGTGTCATTCAGAGCAAAATCTTTATACAACTAAACCATATCCAAGAAATAATTAGTTAATAACTGTAAATTCGACATATTTATTAACTCATTATATAATATTATTAGACTGTATTTTTCTCTCGATACGCTTCTGTGTTGGCATGTGGAACATTGAATAAATATATGTTAAAAATATTTTATCTTTTTATCTTTTGTTTCCTTAATGATTATATATCAGGTCAAATCAAGATTATGAATGTTTCAAGCAAATAATTCGTACTTTCTTTTGTCTGAAGATTATGTGTGGTATAGAAAACATGGGGAATCAAGGAAAAACAAAAGAAGAGAAGTATTAAAAGAAGCTTAAAACAAACACCATTCATTCCATGATCATTTAAGTATCCAATGTAGGGCTATAATACAGCTTTATAAATTTAAACTCTTTGAAATAAGAGCATTTTAAGAACCCAAAGTAATTACTGTTATTTCACTAGCCATTTATGACAAATTTGAATGTGACAAAAATTTTCAGCTCAAATCAAAAAACGCCCAGAGACCATCCCAGTCCCCTGTTTGCAATCCAATGAACGGAAGCACTTTAGTCCTGAAATAGTCTGCATGGCTAATTTTATTTGTTTGGTATATTTATTACACACAGATTAGCCAATAACCCTGCTCGGGAAAAGTTCCATGTCCAGAGTTTGATTGAATTGAATATTAAGAAGATCATGTCTTGTTCCCAGTTGGAATTCTTAGTAGCAGGTCGACAAAATCCAGTATGCTATAAATCTGAAAAAACATGATGCCACAACCAATTTGGTTTGTCAACTCGGAGATGATGATGTCATTGTTATGTTAAATAACTGCTAAAAAGCTGCACAACTGCTTAACGTGATCAATTAACAGAATAATGTACTTACTGCATAGATCTAGCAACAGGCATACCAAATACAAACACTTCCATTTGAACATCTTATCTTTACACTGACCGACTGATAGAATGAAAGATTACCGATACTTGCCACAGAATAAACAGTGCTTGCCAGGCAATGTAATATACGTAAGCAAAATTTATAAGATGAATATAAAAGTAATATTATCTTCTTTATCAAGATGTGAAAAGTGTATTTTCCTGATACGTAATAGCTCCGTCACACCGTAAATGCGTCCTTACTGAGCCGACGAAAAATTTGCTCAAAGCGTGTTTAGGTCGCCATTAGCGTGTAGGAAGCGTCAGATATGGTACGGTGAGCCCTATTGTCGCCAATAATATCTGTGAAGATCGTCAGGGAAGGAGAAGTTCTTAAGCCAAGCGTTGTAACATCTCCAGGAACGCAATAAAGTAAAAGTAGATAGAGAATTGTCTAGGTAACCCAAATGGTCGCATATGTAGCAGTTTGAGTGCAACTGTTATAGACTACCTCTCTTGGATCAATTCCAGAATAAGAAAATATTATTTAAATCAATTATTGAAGTTTTATTATTTAACCAATTTTGGTCCTTGGTCTAACGGATTGAAATGTAACAGGTCGCCATTAGCGTGTAGGAAGCGTCAGATATCTTGCGGTGAGCCCTATTGTCGCCAATAATATCTGTGAAGATCGCCAGGGAACGAGAAGTTCTTAAGCTGTATAACGTCTCCAGGAACGCAATAAAGTAAAAGTAGATAGAGAATTGTCTAGGTAAACCAAACGGTCGCATATGTAGCAGTTTGAGTGCAACTGTTATAGACTACCTCTCTTGGATCAATTCCAGAATAAGAAAATATTATTTAAATCAATTATTGAAGTTTAATTATTTAACTAATTTTGTTATACGCCCACATGATATGGGAGCGTATATTGTCGTCAGCCATGTCCGTCCGTTGCTCGTAAACACTCTACAAGGCACAATTCTTGACTGATTTCGACGAAACTTGGTATGGTTGTTTGTAAATACTCAAGGATGAACCCTATTTAAATTAGAAAAATCGAAAAATATTTAGTATGAGTTATTGCCCTTGTTCTTGAATTTGTAGCTCGTAAAAACTCTAGGAGGCACCATTCCTGACAAAACCTGGTTTTATTATTCAGTACCGCGCTGAAGATTGAATATTTGTCTTCTATAGTTTTCACGAGCTAAAGATTGAACACGCTTTCACGAACAAGAGCAATATCTCATACTCAATATTATTCAGTATCACCCTAAAGAGTTCAAAAGAAGTGTAACCAAACAGCTATCATGTTATAGACCTCGTTATTTCCATTCATAGAGAAACTGAATGAATATTCTATGAGTTTTGTATTCTTTAGATTTCGGGGAAGGGAGGGTTTGATTCGGGCCTAGGGTGGAACAGATACTTTATTTAGAAATAGGATGAAGAGTCTTGATATTGGGTTTTCTTCTGTTCTTATTCTGATCTGAAATTAGATATATAGCTTCTGTTATGTACTGATTGTTTTATTTTACTATGAGCAATATGATCATTTAAGTTATTATTTGTCTTCTTTTGGACATGGGGGAATTTATCTTGAAGGCTCCTATAGTGGGTATGAACTATCTTGCTTGCTCGATTGCTGGTTGTATTGTAGGGGACAACAAAGGTTGCTATGCATACATTATGGTGAATATTTAATCCTATAGGTCTTGCTGTATTCAATGTCCCTAGATTGACGGAATTTGGTAGTTTCATCTTCGGGCAAGTCAACTTCTGTGCGCTCAATTGGGATTAGGGTGAGATCGTCTATTGAATGGTCGTCGAAGTTGAAATGATTAGAAACAGGCTTCCCTTTCTTTAATTTGATATCCGACCGGTGAGCATTGAAACAAGTTCGTAAATTATTCTTAGTTTCTCCTACATATTGTTTGGGGCATTTCTTACATGAAATTAAATATATTACATTCGAATGTTCACATGTTAGATGCTCCTCGATCGGGTACCTTTTATTTACTTAAAGAAAACGAGTTTCTGATAAAAAGGGACATGTTGTGAATCTACTGGACAAACATGGAGCATTCCTTAATCCTGTAGGTACTTCGATATAAAGCCTGTTTTTAGATGCTATCTGTGCTAAAGTGGAATATTTTATATTTCGTAAAAATCGTTTAGAGTGCTCTTTCAGTTTTTGGAAACAATCGTACAGGCTGGGTTGAAATCAGAAGATCTTGTGCAAATTCAGTGACATCGTAAAACGTGTGACTTCATTATACCCGAAAAGGTATGTTTTGGGTGAAAGGAGCTCTTGTGCGAGAGTTGATGAGTATCAGTTTCTTTGAAATACACTTTAATATCCAGTTTATTTGTTTCTGCTATGGAATCTCCCTTAAAGACAATGTTATCGAGAAAGTCTATGCTTTTGATACTCATGTTTCCGGTTAGTTTGATAGAAGGGTGGTGGTTGTTGAGAATTTCAAAGAATTTCCAAAACTGTTCGATAGAATAAGTCAAAACCATAAAAACCATCCAAAAAGCGTCCTTTAAAAGAGGGTCAAATGGCCAGAGGGGCAATACCTCACGTTCCTACTATGCCATGAAAAGTAGGACGTAAAACTCCATTCATTTCATTTTCATTTCCTACTATGCCATGAAAAGGTTAGTTTAAACATATTTTATTGGAATTCAAATGGATCAAGTAAAGGTTACGCAAACTTAGATCACTCTCTCCAAACATTAAAGTGTTTTACATTGAACAAGATGGTAACAGTCATTTAACAAATGTGAAAGAAAATATAAATACATTTATAATACAATACAATACAATACAATACAATACAATACAATACAATACAATACAATAATACAATACAATAATACAATACAATAAGCCACCGACAAGTTCTATATTAATCATATGGATAAATAACTTAACAATCAATTATTGTAATACTTTCAATTTGTAAATCGTTGGGATGTTCTAATAATAAACTGTTGTACATGCTTGAATAATTTAACATTTGATTAAAATATTAGTTTCACTACATAGTATAATGTCAATATTTAACAATGTAAAATCTTCTAGATGATTGTTGAGGACTGGACGTTGGATAACACATAATGAACAATCAAAAAAATAGTGATGGGCATCTTCCTCTGGAAAGCCACTAGAGCGCATTGAATCATCTACTATTCCAAATCTAAATAGATCACCTTTAAGTGAGCTTCGGCGTGTCGCAGTTTTGTATATTTTTGTTTTTGAATATTTTCAAACCTGTTTCCAAGGGAATAATACTTGCGGTCCTTATCGGTATATAATAGTGATCTTTTGACATTGTATTTAAAGGTATTAAAATCATCAATTAGCTTGGTATTAAGATCTAATTCATTCCAGTCATGGTTGGTAGTGAATTTCAGTCATGGTTGGTAGTGAATTCCAGTCATGGGTGGTAGTGTTGAAGAATGATCTTTGACATAATGTAGTTCAAGCATATCGGACTGTTTGGTTCGTTAAATTTCTAAGGTTATAATCATGATTTGTATAGGAATTTATTTCATCATTAAAATCAATTAAGTATTGAGGTCATGGATAATTTTGTGATAAGCATTTAATCTTCTTGCTTTGCGACGTTCGGAAAGGGGGGTCCACCTAGATTCGAAATACAGAGATGCTCTACTGGAGTGTTTTGAAAGACCAGTGACAATTCTGGCTGCTTCGAATTGTATTTTCTCTAATTTCAACTACAACTATGCTACACCCGTCCCAAACCTCACATGAATATTCAAGAATTGATCTTATACTTTGTAAATGTTACTCAGTGTCTGTCTGTTAAGTTGATATTTTAATTTTCGTAGTATATTGAGTAATTTAGAGGCACTCTAACACAAATTAGTAATGTGAATTGACCATTTGGCATCAGCAGATAAAGTTAATCCTAGGTGTTTGTGATGGTGTACTATTGGTAGTTTTTCATTTCCAAAGTATAAGTTGGGTAATTTTTCTAAACTTGGAGTTAAAAACACGACGACTTTAGTTTTGCTTGGGTTAAATTTAACTAGCCATATATTGGCCCAATCATACAGTCTTTGGAGATCACAATTTAAGAAAATTTCGATTTCATCGATGAATGTCATTCAGGTATATCAAAAACAAGAATGGACCAAGTACAGAACCTTGCGGTATCCCTGATGTTAACTTTATCTCTGATGAGAGGTTTGCGAATCGTTTGCCCATAGCTGTCCCTGAAGTTATCGAAATCGATATTGGTATACGTAGAAGAAACGTCGATAGAAATTAAAATAGCATTAGAAGGAACTCGAAGAATTCTTATTTTATTAACAAAATCGTTTGTGTCTTTAAGGTAGGCGCGATGTTGACATGCTAAAGGTATGAAATGATCAATGTATTCTGACATTGCATACGACTCACTACCACAGTCAGATATAATCAGATTTTATTCGAGATAAACCACTCCTTGGTTGGATTCTTATGGATCTTAGGCAAAGTGTATAAATGTCTCTCAGACAGATATTGTTTCTGTTTGAGATAACTAGTTTTGACTAAATGTTTAGGATTATTCAGTTGCTTCTCTGCTTCTGAAACGTAATCCTCCCTATTCAGAATGACAAAACATGAACCTTTGTCACTCTTTTTAATGACAATGCTATCGTCTTTCTTAAGAAAATTTAACGCTTCACGTTCCACTTATGTGAGATTGGGCTTTCCGTGTGTTATGGAAAGGTTCGCTGTTTGGCTATTCATACTTTTCAAATGTTTTCAATATTTCAGGATGGATTGCGGCCTGATGGGATGTTTACGTTGATTTAGGAAAAAACATTGTTCTTGCACAACGTGGGAGTGGTTTCGAAAAAAATATGTGCAGTTATGATTTCGCTGGAATCGTTCAATAGATGGTCGGAGATAATTTCAGTTAGCTATCTTTGGTGTCGGAATAAACTTAAGTCCACGGTCTAAGATTGAATGCTGAAGTGGTGTGAGAATTTCGGCTCAAGTTAACTACAGTTTGGCCTAGCGGTGGCATCTCAGTATTTTTATCCCCAGTAATTAGTTTAAAGACTTACTCGATGCTTGAAGCTGGTGTATAAACCAAAGAATACTGTTTGCTGTTTCTGGAGACCAATGAAGAATTTGGGAAGGTTTTGTTGGCTGTGGCGATTAATTTCTGGGCTTGGTTATACGAGGTCTTTTGTAGCTGATCACGAAATTAACCAGACACCACGTCGAATTGCTAGATTCTTTTCGCGCTAGAATGAATTTGCACGTTTATAATATTTTCTTCCAATTATCCGGCCGTGTAAAATTGACTGTCTTTTCCTGCTTTTGCGCCAGTTACAAACGACTTTGATTATTGATTAAATTATTGGACTCGCATAATGGTTTAATTTTAATTCGTTGAAGGTATTTTAGAAGTTTCATTAGATTTTCTTACTTCTTATTATACTTCTTTTATTTTAGAATTTGTTGTTTGAACAGCCCATATAGAAGGGGCGGGGGCTTTTGTACGTGCAACGACGGATATACATGTACAGTCCATTGTTGGGATGTATTCGGAGACAACGAAATGACGAGGAATTTGCTTCCCAAAGTCTGTTCCATGCATAAATAAATATATATAATTTTTTTTATTATATATTAATAATAATAATGTAATGTAAATCATGAAACATTTAAAACACAGACACACAACATATCGGTATATATTTATATTTTTTATATTTATGGCTTTACAAAGTTTCCTGGGAAGATATTTATATTGTAAACATCGATGTGGTTCATGACTTGTGATTGACATTGACAAATTAACCAGACAGGTATCAATAACGCAAAAACCATTTATCAAAAAATCATCAAAAATTCGAACTTGACCAAGATCTCATAATGATAAATGATCACACCAAATTTCATTTAAATCGATGAAAACTTTAACGCTTTTTTCCCAAATCAAGGGCAATAACCCAAAAACCGTTCATCCAAAGTTCGTCAAATTTGAATTTCAACAAGATCTCATGAATATAAATGATCATATTATAATGTGGGCGTATAAAAATTTCATGTTAAATATTCATTTTTGATTCCAGCCCACTTTAAGATGTTTGGTCAATTCAGACATTTTTTATCATTTTCTGGTTGTTCTAGAAAGCTTCTCAAAAAATAAAAAATATTTGATAATAATAGCCTTTCAGACAAGTTCATTACCTTTGCTTAGAGAAAGTTGGCCTTAGATAAGACCTGTTGACTCTTTTAGGAGCAATTCAGAGTATTATTTGGTATGTTTGTACAACAGAAGTGTATTAAATATATTTTATATTATATTGTCTTGAGGATTGCTTCCGTTTGGCTAGCCCTTACCCATCGAATAGATCAACATGGGAGAGTCACTCCACTCTACCAATTGTTGGCGATAATGAGCTCACAACAAAGACCAATGATATTACAAATGTTTTGAGATATTGATACCGCTGCATTGAGAAGTCAATGGTCAAAATCGTTAATTAACATACTGAAGAGTAAGGGACTGGGCATGCATCCTAAGCCAATATTGTAGCTGAAACAATTCGTTAACAAGATGTTAAAACACGTGAATTTCATGTTTTCAATTATATGCAAAAAATTTATTTGCCACTTAAATATGCTTCAAGCGGAAATCCTTTTGTTTACACCGATGTGTATTTGGGACCTGTGACTAATTGATTATTGGCTTATCGATTATACACTGAAAGGAAACGAATCCAACGACTTCAATAATCAAATAAACATGTTTTTTAATTGTTGTTAAAACTCGTTACAACAGAGTTATTGTGAATTATAAAAAACCACAGTGTCAGGACTTCCTGTGGAGTTACCTACGAGCAGAGTATTTTCCTGTGTAAATATATTACATTGATAATAACCTGACACCAATTTAACACTGAAGATATGACACATTGGTAACACATAACATTTCATAGCACATTGACCATATCCTTGTACACTATACGTCATATCCGGCGTGATTGATAATTCAGCATTTTCTAATCGAACGTATGCCGACTTGATACTGGCAAGTTGTGTCCCAAATACTCGAACCTAAAATATGAACAAGGTCTAGTTTAAATTATAATGGCGGAAATGATTATTATTGGTCTTTCTAAGCGTATTTTTGGAAAGTTAGTTGCATGCAAACACTATTAAAGGTCCACTAAGTTAAAACAAATATCCAATCAAATTTGGACAATATGGATTTATTGAATTTACAAACTGTAAAATTTAGTTTAACATCATACTTTTCTACTGCTGGTGTGGCTATTGGAAATGATAATTTGATCTAAATTTCTAACTGTACAAGGGGTACTCGACTTCACACCATATAGCATTGTCCCTAACGAACAAATATTTTCCTGAAAGTAGGCCAGCTAATCTCATATCTGAACGAATGTCGGATTTCCATTTTTGGAATTTATCTCGAAATTGAGCTGCTAAAGCAATTATTGAAACTACCATATATTTTGAAACTTACCTCACACAATACTAGAAACTCTCTAGTGCCCGGTTGACCATTAATAGTAATTCTTACATAGCGACCTTTTATTATCTGTTTACAATTATACATTACAATCTTTCCCTTGGCTCCTTTACCCACATGATAGTAACAAAGTTCGGCATCAGAAATAGACTCTCCTTCTTTATAGATCATAATAGAAAAATCGTGAGCCAACTGTTGTCCTGCTGAAAGATAAAGAATGAAAGAGGTATACAGACACATGTCTATTAGTATAATCTCCACTGTATAACTGTATCAGTTCGATGGAACATCGTAAATTTCAAACTCGTGCAAGATCTCATCCATTCAAATAATAATTAACCTAAAACTATGAAATCTTAAGCTTCTTGCGTGCTTAAAAAAAACTATTTTTAATTGTCTTTGACTCATTGAAATTTAAAAATTCTTAAATTGTCCTCATTAATACAAATAATGTTTACAAAGTTTTATCTGATTCAGACGCGAAACTACAAAACAATCTTTACGTTTTTATAGATTAAAAATATTTCGGATTTGTTTGTTAATGTTTGGAAGTGAATGGGGTAAAAAAAAAAAATATTTACGATTCGCGGTATGAGTTACGGCCACAGAGTAAATGGAGTAGTCTTGCATGATATCTACTTCCCACCAAGGTGTAGCTGTGTTTGTTCCGATATTCGTATTCGAACAACTGGATTCACTGGCTAATAATCCATCTATACCATCAATCGCTCTGGATGCTACATTTGCTCGATAAGTGCTAATTTGGTTAGCTGATTTATTAACAGCCACATTTACTAAACCACAGACTGGAAGGTAAACAAAAAATAAAAAAAAGGTAAAAATGGGAATTGTCTACTATCATGTGACAAGTTTTTGGTCGAGAACCCATTAGGCTTTAATGTCACCACTATGGTAATAAATATGACCAAAATAGTTATATTATCGTACGGTTAGGTAAGAAATAATGATTATATACTGTTAATACGACATACAGAAATAGACATAGACTAGAACCACTCGTCATTTAAGGTCAAGGTCACTAGATATCAGTCATCAAACTTTGGAAATACAAACGGTATGAAACCGCAAGGTATTAACCTTTAGCCAAAGTCAATGACCTTCGATCCTACAAAGGTCATGATCATCAATGGTATAGGTCAGAAATTGAAAATATGTTAACTTTAATCCCTGTTCCTTTTTTGAATTACGAAGCTGGCCAAGAGGGTGAGGTAATTTTGTGCAAGGTTCCGTTTTGAACAAATGTATTCTATGCAAATTACCCTTGATAAAAATGTAAATAATAAGTAATTTAACCCTAATGTACCACGCTCACCTCCACTTTTTTGTCATAAGTTATTAAATTCATATTTAAAATGTCTCGTTCTGTGTTCTGAATTCCAAGCTTCTACACTAAATAGGTCATAAGATATACATACACCCATCTAAAAGAAGCGAAAATTTTGTTAAAAAGTCAGGAATTATGATTTTGCATGAAAAAAATTATCACTGAAAAGAGCACGATATGCACATTTAGAATCAACAAGAACTAGAGCCACTCGTGGCACAGAGTGGGACTTTGCAAATGTAGCAATTTGCTAAAGACCCTGAAAAAATCAACCATCGACGATAATTAGGTCAAGCGCAAGAACAAGTCTAAAGTTGATAATTTTTTATTTTTTAGAAGATTCTAATACCGGAAGTAGACGTCAGACCTCACAAATGAAATGATCAGCAGATAGCCAAGATCAATGACCTTTGATCTTGTAAAGGAGAAGATCTAAAAAGGCCAAGATCAAGAGATATACGTCATCAAAATTTCAAATTGCACACGACTATAAAACCGGAAGTTGACATAGGGCAGCAAATATAAAAGTATAAATAGATAGCCAATGCCAATGGCGTTTGATCCTACAAAGGTCAAGGTCAAGAAATGTCAAGGTCAAAAATTGAAAATTGTGAATTTCCAAAACCTGTTCCCTTTTTTGAACTATGAAGCTGAAACAAATGAACTTCTAAGACAAAGTGGCTCAAAATATGGGGTAATTGTGTGCAAAGTTCCATTTTGAACAAATGTATACTTTGAGAGTTATGCCCCTTGCCAAAAATGTCAATAATGAGTAATTTAACCCGGATGTGCCACGCCCACCTCAATTTTTTTTGCATAGGTTAATTGATATTCAAAATGTTACGTTATGTTCCAATTGTCAAGCTCCTACATAATACAGGTCAAAAGATATAGGTCAACAAAAGTCAAAATCGTAAAATGGAAATATCCAAATGCAAAAAACCCGTTCCTTTTTTGGAACTATAAAGCTGAAACAACTGAGCTGTTAACACAAACTGGCCAAAAGGATGAGGTAATTGTGTGCAAAGGGCCTTTTTGAAAAAACGCATCCTATGCGAGTTATGCCCCTGCCTCTAAATGTAAACAATTAGTAACTCAACCCGGATGTGCCCCGCCCACAAAGGTTTTTTTGTCATAGGTGAATTCATATTCAAAGTGTCTAGTTGTATTCCAAATATCAAGGTTCTCCATAAAATAGGTCATAAGATATACATACACCAAGATCAAAAAGACACAAATATGGTAAAACAAAACTCAAATTTGAAAAAATAACGAATTTCAATTTTGCTTTAAAAAAGCAATTGTTCTATGTCAATGTAAAGTGCATGAGAAGCACATTAGGAAACCTAAAAAATTAACCCTCTAGGTTAACTAGGTCACGTGCTAGAGCAGTCCAAAGTTGCGAATTTGGCTTTTTACGGATAGCTATAAAATCGGAAGTACATGTCGGGGGCCAAAGGTCAAAGTATCAAATGATAGCCAAGGTCAATGACCTTTGACCCTATAAAGGTCAAGATCATCAAAGGTCAAGGTCACGAGATATACGCCATCAAATATTGAAAAAATTCAATCGCAAATTGCAAAAAAGCAAAATCGAAATTCAAAAATCGGCTTCCTGCGATCTCTCTTAATTTTTATGTTCTTTCATTTAACACCAAAACTTTGAAATTCGGTTTAGCCAAATTGGCTGAATAAAAATCGAAGAGTTTCAGGGAAATCAAAATGGCGGCCAAAGTATCACTTCCGATCGGAATTTTATTTTAAAATCGGCCATAGATTTTTATCTTATATCGATCAACGAAATTCCGTTCATTTTGATAAATATCACCGGAAGTTATTCGACAAATTCGATTTTGGACTTCAAGTGACTCAAACTTCGAAACCGGAAATGACGTAAAAAATCTGACTGTATCATATCATTTACTTAAGTGATGTCTATTTGCATTTTAAATTTGAGATCAATCGATGCAAAAACAAAAAGTAGCCAAAAAATTGAAAAATTCGATCGCAAAATTGATCGTATTCTCTGCGAGTTATATGCCCCTGGCCAAAAATGTCAATAATGAGTAATTTAACCCGGATGTGCCACGCAAACGTCATTTTTGTGGCATAAGTTAATTGATATTCTAAATGTCATGATGTGTCAAAATCTAAAATTGAAAATATAGAAATTTTAAATTGAAAAATTTGATCGAAATAAGTGAGCGACCAATTTTCGAATTTCGTAATTTTCAGGTCAGAAATTACAGGTAGATTGTAAAAATGAAAATCCGAAGAAAATGCAACCTCTAAAGCCGATTTTATGTGGCACTTCCGGTTTTGCAAAAATGTTCCAATTTATATTCATTAACAACGTTGCCACTACAGAAGGTCTAGAAATGTTGCTTGCTGCAGCCTTTGCTTGAAAAGACAATTGACAATATGATAACACCAGATATGAGATATATGGATATAATATGTCTAACATTTATTTACGCAACATTATATAATTCTTATTAGACTGTATTTTTCTTTTGATACGCTTCTGTGTTGGCATGTGGAACATTGAATTAATAAATGTTAGAAATATTTTATCTTTTTATCTTTTGTTTCCTTAAAGATTATATATCGGGTCAAATCAAGATTATGAATGTTTCAAGCAAATAATTCGTGCTTTCGTTTATCTGAAGATTATGAGTGGTATAGACAACATGGGGAATCAAGGAAAAACAAAAGAAGAGAAGTTAAGTATTAAAAGAAGCTTAAAACATACACCATTCATTCCAGGATTATTTCTAAAGTATCCAATGTACAGCTTTAAAAATTTAATCTCTTTGAAATGAGAGCATTTTTTGAACTTTAAAAAATTCAATGCCCAAAGTAATTACTGTCATTTCACTAGCCATTTACGACAAATGTTTAATGTGACCACAATTTTCAGCTCAAACCAAAAAACGCTTTATCATGGAATGCTGAATAGTTGTAAAATATGTAAAATGTCGAGAGACCATCAAAATGACAAATGACAAATTTCAATGTGACAAAAATTTTCAGCTCAAATCAAAAAACGCCCAGAGACCATCCTAGTTTCCTGTTTGTAATCCAATGAACGGAAGCACTTTAGTCCTGAAATGACACTCATCCCTTTCTAAGAGTCTGCATACTTAATTTTATTTGTTTAGTATATTTATTACACACATACGGGCCAATGTCCCAGCTCGGGACAAGTTCCATGTCCAGAGTTTGATTGAATTGAATATTAAGAAGATCATGTCTTGTTCCCAATTGGAATTCTTACTTAGTCGATTGGTCCTTAGCCTTACGGATTGAAACGTAACAGGTCGACAAAATCCATTATGCTATAAATCTGAAAAAATATGATGCCACAACCAATTTGGTTTGTCAACTTGGAGATAATGATGTTATTGTTGTCTTATATAACTGCTAAAAAGCTCACAACTGCTTAACGTGATCAATTAACAGAATAATGTACTTACTGCATAGATCTAGCAACAGGCATACCAAATACAAGCACTTCCATTTGAACATCTTATCTCAACACTGACTGACGATAGAATGAAAGATTATAGATAATTGGCACTGAAGAAACGTTAATTGCCAGGCAATGTAACATACGTCAGCAAACTTTATAAGTTGAATATATAAGTAATATTGTTTTTTTAACAAAATGTGAAAAGTGTAACATGTGTTAGCAAATTTTATTAGATCAATATAAAAGGAATATTGCTTTTTTAACCAAGCTGCTAATAAGTCAAAGTTTCTGTCAAATGAAACGTTGTACCTTCCAGATACGAAATTGCGTCCGTTTTTGCTCAAAGCGTGTTAAATTCGTCATTGGCGTGTAGGAGGCGTCTGATATCGTACGGAAAGCCCTATTGTCGCCAATAAACGCTTAGCAGATCGTATACGAGCGCAAGACATCGTTTACAGTTTTCATATTGGCAACATTTTTGTTGAATTTTTGTTTAATTTTAATTCGTTGAAGGTATTTTAGAAGTTTCATTAGATTTTCTTACTTCTTATTATACTTCTTTTATTTTAGAATTTGTTGTTTGAACAGCCCATATAGAAGGGGCGGGGGCTTTTGTACGTGCAACGACGGATATACATGTACAGTCCTTTGTTGAGATGTATTCGGAAACAACGAAATGCATAAAATTATGTAATGTGAATCATGAGACATTTAAAACACAGACACTTTTTTTTTCTTTTTTCAATAAATTGATCTTTTCTGTTGTCAATAGGGTATGTGTGTGTATTTTCGACCTATAGTGTATTTTTATCCAATTTTATTTATTTTAATTTCCATTACTTTTGTGACTTCCGTTTTCATCAAAATATTTTGTAAAATTCAATGTAATTATAATATCACGTTGAAGTTTCAGTTTGTTGATAAGTATGCGCTCCGTAGAAGAGTTTTCTATCACGCTCCTTTTTACAAAAAAGCGAGTCTTTTTCCATATGGTATACCGGAAGGTATGGTACACAGAAAAATTAATTCGAGCTCGACGTTGCTTAACTGCAGTGATCGGGCGAGAACTGGTGTATTCAACGTTGTATAGCCGTAGACGTTAGACGAGAATGTTTCAGGCGAGTGTCCATATGGTAGGCTATAGTACAAACAGACAAATTAATTTCGGCCAAAAAAATTATGTCCAGGCCAGAAACTGATCAAAACGGCCCGCACGCAATCGAGACTCAGTCTTCCAAAAGCGAAAATAGGTGCAAAGGTGCATCTACAGCACTCGGTGTTCCCAGGCGGTCACCCATCCAAATAACGTGGTATGGCCATATGGTAGGGTATGGTGCAAACAGAAAAATTAATTTTGGCTAAAATATTGCTGACTTTACTTTAATGACTACTGAACTAAATCATTTTGAGGGCCTTTTTGCCCGACTGTTTACAGTCAATTTATTAACGTGACGTCCTTAGTGTCGTCGGACTCCAAAGACAAGAACAGTTTTCATGATATGTTAAAGGCAATATGGTGAAAGTGACTCTTGTGAATACAAAGGAAAACAGTATTGCTGAAATTATTAATTTGATTGAGAATAAACTTGGTTTGGACTCTGTTTTAGCTATTGTTCCATGTAATCGTTGAAATGATGTAACACTGATAAATAAAGCCAGTTATACGGTATATTTTACTTTATTGTAGATTATGTAGATCAACACAAAGTTAAACATAGAGTTAAGCCAATCATACAAAAGAGCACTTTCTCCTTCTGCTAAGGAAACCAGCACAGACCATCTCCAGTTGCAGACACAGGCCAAAGTTGGTTGTTATTAATTCAAAAATTACTCGATTTAATTTTTAAATTTCAATCTCAGATTCTGCCTATCACACAACACTTCTGTTAAATAGTCTTTCACTGGTGCTTATGTCATATAAAATTTATGAAATTCGTTGCCAAGACTCGAAAAATATTAAATCTGGCAATAATAATGACTGTGGATAAAAGGTTATCGAATTTAAGGACTCCAGTCAAGAAGGTGTTAATGCCAGTACTAATACTCCATATCCAATTTCATGATATAGACATAATCCTTTTTTACAAAATCAGTCAGTATAAATCTTAAATTAACTTCATCTATAGAGTGGAAACAATTAGTAATTTATGTTTATTTATTTTAAAGGTTAATTTGGTTGACTATAAGAAAATGTTCTCAATTAATTGGTTTAATTGTAGCTGCTCAGCCTGGTGTCAGATATGCTCAATTATATTGACATATAAGGATACATGTATAAGGATTCAACACCGAATTTTGACAAAGTTAAAAAAACGGAATTAGATGTTTCCTCGGATGTTCTACAAAATAATTAAAATTGGTTTGTTTCGATTTTCTTTATGAATCCCTCACTTTCACCCATATTTCACGAGTAACCAACTCGACAACGGCGGAAAAATGCGTCACCTATTTTCGTGTACAATGTTTGATTTATGAATAAGTCGAGAAAAACACGCTGTATGGATACCCAGTGGTATAACTAACTTCTCTTAGTATTTATCTTTAATATCAATTTATTATAACTAGTGACAATTCCTTCAAAGAACCATGATTTTAAAAAAAGGTGACTGACAAAATAAGATACGTAGCGTGATTTATTGCTAAAAGTCATTGAAACAACAAAAGAATATAGCCAACATTGTCTTCCATGGAATTTTTCTGCTGACACGGAATCCGCTAGTTGATCACATGACTTCATTCGTTGGATTACATTCTAGCAGACGACACTTGGAATTCCGATTACAGCTAGGGATTATAAGGAAATTCGGCCGATAAAAAATTGTGACGTTTGGTAATAACTGAAATTCGCCTTTTTATATTTGTCGAAGTAAATAATTAATACATTTTACCTTGCTTGAAACTACTGGATTCATTTTACTAGCTGTCATTGTACAGATAACCAATGTTTATCAAAACAAGCAAATGCGGAGGTCGCACAGGTAAATTATTAATCATTTCCGGACATGCACGAAAAATAGGTTAGCACGAAATTAGGTTACTTCACTGTATATACAAGGTCTATCATGCTGGATATTTGTTTAGAAACCATTGTTTATTTAACCATACCGACTTGATTGCAGGTTATGTATTATGACAGTATGACTGAGTATTTACTGTAAATTTGAGAAATAGAAATAATCATTTTTTTTTCTATCTATATTTAAATCTATCAGGGTTGTACTTTTCGTAAATTTTATGATAAGCCTGTAAGAACATAGGGATTATTTAGTGAGCTATTCTGAATAATAATTACCTCCAAAAAGTGAAGTCTCGTGTGACCGGAAGCTTACGTTATACAGCAAGGTATAATATAAAATTAAACGAGTCTTATCTTAGGAATTAAGTTTGATAAAGATTTTACTCCGTGTCGCTCCAGTCTCAGGTCTTGCAGAGTTTGTTCTAAACCTCTCAACATTCATGTCCGAAAGAGTTTTTCTTTTTGAAACGCATTTCTCTCGAAAAGTGTATACCACAATCAGCCATGATAAGATATATAAAATCATAGAAATTCTTCCACTCCTCGCCAATCCCCTGTTGAGAAGCACTGGTCTAAAGAGCTGTTGTTGACATCTGTATGATCAGCATCCTTACTTGCCGCGGAGAGTTTCTTGTGTTTGACTTTGCCAGAAAGCCGATTATTTAGACTCAGATTCTCAAAATATAACTCACAATAATTAAAGTTGCCAATTAGGAAAGTGGCGCTTTTGAGAAACCCCGGTCTAAGCTGTCAACCTTGACGTAAATTCTCAATATTTAACCTTCTTGTCCTCAACATTTATATCTCTAGATTGAGGTTTTCATACTTAGATCGTTTTACTAATGACTATTGACGTTCAATGTTGAAAGGAAAATAACATTTGTCTCAGCGAATGAGATTTTCAAATTAAGGGAGGTAACTATAAGAAAATAGTTTTTCTGAAAATCCGCTTATGTGAAGACATAATTTCTTCTAGATTAGAAAATAGTATTTTTTTTTACAAAAATCAGATAGTAAACTAGTACATATTCGACATCGCAAAACAACAATATCAAACCTAATATAATCTTTATGATGTATTTTATTCATACAGAATTTACAGAAATAACATTCAAGTCTCAAATCATAAAAACAGTGTTTGCAGGGTTACCAGTTGAGTTAGCAACGAGTTTTGGATTTTCTGTGATGACAATATTACATTGATAATAACCAGACACCATTTTAACACTGAAGATATGACACATTGGTAACACATAACATTTCATAGCACATTGACCATATCCTTGTACACTGTACGCCATATCTGGAAATTCTAGATCTCGTCGTCGAACTTGGTAAATGATGCAGTTGTTAAATATTCAGAGCCAATTACTTTAACCTATGATTAAGGGACAGATTTAACATTTTGAGTTTGGCAAACGAAATAAATTGAAAAGGGAAATCGTGTGTTGGAAACACAATCCTGTACTAAATCTGTGAATACAATATGAGTCTAGGGAATCTATGAAAGTTATGATTGATTAAAATTCACCGACTCATTTTGAACCACGGTCTCATCTAATTATATTTGATAAGGCTACGAGGCTTTGTCATCGATGCAAAAATATGCGAAACCGATAAAATGTTTGGCTCTATACAAATCACTTCAAAGCCAAAAGGTATTAGTTTTCGGGGAAGGGAGGGTTTGATTCTCCCAAATGTACAGGCCTAGGGTGGAGCAGACACTTTATTTGAAATTGGAATTAAGGGTCTTGATATTGGGTTTTCTTCTGTTCATATTCTGATCTGAAATTAGAAAAAATAACCCGCCCGATGGGCGAGAAGTATAGTATCTGTTATGTGCTGATTGTTTTTAGTTTACTATGAACAATATTTTCATTTAAGTTCTTATTTTTTGAATATGCAACTATCATTTTCTGCTTATAGACATGGGGGAATTTCTCTTCAAGGCCCTTATAGTGGGCATGAACTATCTTGCTTGCTCGATTGCTGGTTGTATTAAACGGGACAACAAAGGGTGCTATGCCTACATTATGATGA